ATCACCACCCCCCCCCCCCTGTCTCTGAAGCACTGTGGTGAGCCGGCCCAACCTCCTCTTCCCTACACAGTGTCGCTCACCTCTGCTCAACGCTATGGATGATCAGCAACCAAGCATAAATCAAAAATAATAGAGTAGTTTTCCCAATCTGAAACGGAAGCATTATATAACTTAATCAGTCGTCAGCCATGGTAATGACCAATAATAGGTCAATCATTAAAAGCTTATCAAATAAAAAATACATGTTTTTCATCAGTTAGAGTTCTATTTAAACAAATGATGTGACTCATTAGCAGCACAACTAAACCAAAGTAAATGATTGGTATCATAGATAGAATTATAGAAGAACTAAAACAGCATGCTAACAAAAATTAAATGAATAATTGATTAGACTAACAACTTAAAGTATGTTTTTACATTTGAATATATAAATATTAAAAACATTCTTGTGTTTTTAAGCAGCAGCAGCAGGAAAAATAGTCCTCCTCGCTGACTATATTAAAATTCACAAGTCCTACTTGAAAGGAAAAACACATATACGTATTTTTGACACTTTATGATCATATTTGTAGCCTGAACATGTGCTTTCTAAAGCTAGAGAACCAAGAACATTACAATGTTACGTCCTGGATGAGCTTTGTTTTACGTACTTTGTCCCAGGCACACAAACATCCTACTGTGTGGGTGGGTGGTGGCCTGCTCACCTGGCTTGAGTGGCTCTTTAGCTCCTGCGCTATTATTTGTGGAGGGGCGCTGAGGGCCACGCTGCAGCATGACACAGCTCTTCACAAATCCGTAGAAACAAAACAACACGCACACCAGTCTCTTTGGAAGGTAAAGAAGGTGGCAGACTTTTCATCCACAGGCAAGTAACCACGAAGGTTTGCCACCGATTTTAAAACTGTTAACCTGAAGATAACTTTAGAGGATTTGGTCTCACCTGTCGTCACATCAGGTGCTTCATGACACAAAGGACACGGCTCCTCTTTGAAAGGCAGCATGTTCCAACATGCTAGCCAAGGGCCTCGACGATGATTTACATGAAATGTTAAAACACATAGTATGTGACCGTGCTGTTAGAGGCCTCTTGAACCTGAACACGCGTTACATCCGTGATCTGCTCGTGAATGCTTGAGCCCAGCTGCTCGGAGCCCCTCCCCCGCCACTCTGTGTGTGATCTATAGGCAGCTAGAGGTCTGTGGTACTTTATTGGGATCTTTTTTCTCTTTCTGTCTTTCCCCCTTTTTGGCCTTTGCTCTTTCTCTCTAACATTGTTTTTGCATTGCATGTGTTAACTTGGTAGCATTCAGTACTATTATATCTCAACAGTCTGTCCTAATCACTACTACGATTTTCCTCCCAGACTCATCCCTCCCTCGTCCTCTTCCCCCCCTTCCAACCTTCCCTCCTCCCCCTCCCGACCCGGTCCCAGAGCGATATGCAGCGGGCAGCCTCAGAGCCACAGACGCCAAACATACACACCACAAATCTAAGACGCACCGCTACACAGACCACAGCAAGACATGTCACAGAAAGGAGACTTCTTAGGATAGTAGTGCACCAGCTGTCACTGAATTTAGGTCATTGCTGAGGCCCTCCAAATGTTCCCTTTAAAGTCGGCACCTTGCCTGACCACCTTGCTTCAATGGGAATGCGAGTGTTAGCGGTCTCTGTTTACGCTGGAGACCTCCTTCCGACTTTGATTAACTTTGATAAACGTCCGCTTGATGATTTGGGCCTTCAGAATTGAGGTAAGTATGTGTTTTTAAGTTGTTATATTTAAACATTTTTACTACTTGGACTCTGCTTCTGTCATCCCCCCCCCCCTCCAATCACGTATGAGACGCTGAATCCCCTCACGTTCAATCTGACACTTCCACACTTCATCTCCATACACCGGCAATTAGGAGCCTTCTGTTTTTGTCGTTTTGGTTCTTGATGCACTGAGACAGTTGTTTCCATTTACTCACACCTGCATCACTACAGGAATGTGCAGAGCAGCACACACGAGGGAGCTGCAAAGGTTAATGAGGGGCCATGTCCTCCACCAGCACTCGCCAAAATACTTTCCTCGGACACGAGGGAGGACTATGGGTAACCCCCTCAAGGGTTTGTCTCGGTTATCTTCTCAGAACATGTGAACATGTGTCATCCAAAGGAGAGTACATAAAATGTCATTTGGGTTAATTTAGGTTCAGTCACTGACGTGGATTAATACGCCTGTTTACACAAACACACTGTGCACATGGCTGCATAGACTGAAGCCATCTGGCTCCTGAATCCTCTGAGGTCTCTAGATGGGGTCCCCTGCATATCACTTCTTACCCATATTCTTTCTGCCAAATAAAACCCCCAACCATCCCTTCTCGTAGATCTCTTTTGTTTGGATAACATTTTCTATTTTCCTTTCTCCTGTGTTAACAGTCAGTTGGTGGATTTATTGACATGCCTACCTTTTTTCTGTTTGTATACAGTGTTATGTTTGTTTAAGAGCAGAGAGAGATGTTTTGCATTTGTAAGAACTTAGAGAAGCTAGCAGAATTGCAGTTGAAAGCGTTTGGCCGGTTTCTTACGTTGTGTCACGTGTGACTGTTTTTTTGACAGCCCAGTATTTTAAAGCCAGGTTCGTATGGAAATGCCTTCACTCCACTTGCACTGCTGTTGGACTCGCCGTCGTTGCTTTCATCTGTCTGTCTCTTCTTTTGGTGCACTCATCTGTTGGGTCAACACGCAGCCTGCGCCTCATCTCCGGCATCTAACCTTTACCGAGCCCATTTTTAAACTAATCTCTTTATTAGTGTCTGCAGTTGCGACTGTTGCCAACCTGCCCTTCTTGTTTTTAATATTTATTTTAATCTTACTGAGATGAAAAAGAGAATTGGAAGAGGAATTGGGTTTAATTTAAGGTAGGAGCTTATGTTCTCTAAGCTTTCAGGCCATTTCCTTACAAAGCCCTGGGTCAGCTAGCAGGACTTTAGGGCGCGTTTTATTGTCCTTCTTTCTCCAAGCCTCATAGATCAGCTAATCCCCCAAATCAATATAAATGCTCACGATGAGTGTTGCAGCATAATGCTGCAGTAAGGGACAGAAGCATACCCAGGTGGGAGGGGAGGCTTTCACTGCAGCACATTCTGCAGTGTTTTCCTCCACAGTGGATTTCAGGGGATACGTTGTCCACCAGGCAGGAGGCAACACACACTATCAGCCATACAGCCTGGACGTCTCTGGGACGTTACAGTGGCCTTTAATGGACGTTAAATAGTCTTTAATGTCCCGGTTATGAGTGGACACAGGGAGGTCGTCTCCACCACGTGAGGCCCAGCACAGATTCCTTTCTTATCTCTTCTCACAGCGGAAGGGATCTGCCAGTCACAGCTCATACATCCATGAAATGGAGAAGGGGGAAAAAAAACAGGAAGTGAAGCTGTTTAGCCTCTCTCTCTCTCTGGAGGCAAGCATCAGCCAGATGTTTTGGATAGATTTATTCCAGTCACCGTGATAGTGATCAGTTTTTGTTTTTTTACAACTGACATACTTTTCCCTTCCAGAGAGATATTAAATGGGGCAAATGAAGGCAACAGTTTGTTCTGAACCAAAAGGAAAAGAAACTTCAAACAAGGCCTTGTTGGCGGAGATGCAGCGGAGATGCAGTGCGTGCTGTGTGTGTGACTACCGCTCCCCTTCACATGCACTAACCCATTCAAGCCCAGCTCACCTCCACCCCCCCACAAAGTGACCTCCACCCTGGCTCAGCCTGCCCCCCCCGTCCTGTCCTGTCAAAGAGAACTGAGCCCTGTTGAGCCATCACCTTCCTCTCTGTGCCTGATCCACCTGAAACTAACACCAGTTGAAAGTTTTTGTTCCACCCCCCCACCCTTCTGTATGTGTACCATTCACAGTGCGCTACTAACACCGACGAATCCTTTTTGTTAAAGCTCTTTAACAAAAAGCCGCATGCTGTTTTGTTCCAACCCCTTCACTTTCTGTTTGTGAAAGTCGATCTCTTTGTGATTATAAATATCCTTTTTTTTATTTTTTGGGTTTGTATGTTTGTTTGTTTTTTGGTAGAATGCAGCACTCTGGTGAATGTTAGACAAGCCTGGAATAGTTATAATCACAACAGAAAAACAACACCCACACTGCTTATTAAGAGCTCTCATTGTTCCCTGTTTATTTGTGCTTGAGGATGTACCGTAGTGTGTAGTGGTGGGACGGTCTTGCATTTCACTTAATGTTTTCGTTTCCTTGCTGACTCATACTGGTGATATAATGGTCTCAGACGTGTACATTTGGCCCCAGAGAGATTCTGTTGTGCATGTTCTAGCACTCCGCCTCTGTGATGTGTCGTCCATCGCCTTAACTTCTCCACACGTACAGTGTTTGTGTACTTTGTCAAAGCAATCATTTAGTATTGAAAGAAAAGCAGAAAACGTCGGTTATTTTACCTCATCCTAGCAGCAAAAAATGACCTTCCAGTTTGGTGACGGTCTGTAAAGTATGATTTCTACTTGAAGAATACTAATGATATCTTTGAGAATGTTCAAACTAGAGGCATCGGTGGTGTCTTAATAATGATTTTAAATCAAAAGTGTGCACATGGTTTGGACCAGGCCATTGATGACAGACCAGAGACGCTTGAGGTGTCCAAAAACTTGCACAATAGCCGTTTGTAGCACATGGAATGGGGCTACATGCACACAATGTCTCCCTCTTTTTCACCTGCACACCCACACATCCCTTCACGCGTGCACACTCTGTCCACCCTGGGCCTTGTAATGGTAATCCAAGGCCCACTAGCTCCACTTCTCTCTTCCTCTCGCTATATATATATTTATTTATTTTTTGTGATAGCTGCATATGTTTCATGGTGCTCCCCTTGTCATGAATACGGAATCACAGCAAGCTTGGAGTTTCTGGTCCTCGTTTTGTTAATTGCAAGATTTCCGTGTTTCCGTGTCACTTTTTTCTATACGTGTGCCAGAGACCTTGCTCTGTAGTGGTTCATATATGTATGCGTGTGTGATACATATATTGTCCCCTCCTTCCTCCCACTCCTCCTAACTTCTCAAGTTAGTGGATGTGACTTGATGTGTTATTTTAATCATCCCAAAAAACATAAAAAAATGCTTTAAAAAGTAAATCTGAACTCTCATTGTAGGAGGTTGTCCTGTAGATTCCAGGCTACACATAGCCTCATGTATCCATTGGTGGGGGGAAAACCCCCCCACACCCCCCCCCCCCCCCCCCCTACCCCCCTACCCCCCACCACTCCTTGTGCTGGAAGACACTGTTACACGCTGTAGGTGATGTGGATGACGATAATGATGATGGTGGTGGTGGTGGTTGTGCTGATGATGATAGTGTGATTTTAAGTGTGTTTTGTTTTGTTTTGTTTTTTGATCAGTACCCGAACGGGGAAATGCTCCTCTTATTATTGGAATATTTTTGGTTTTTTTCTCCTCTGTTCTCTCTGCTAGGATAACATCGGACACAAGCTGCTTCAGAAACATGGCTGGAAGTTGGGGCAAGGTCTTGGCAAATCCATGCAGGGTAAGGAATCCCTCTTCTGTACACCTACGTTCAATGTGTGCTGGTGGAACTTGGCCACAACGCTGTCATTGTCTTTCCCCCTCACATTTCCAGGTTTTTATTTTTTTGTATCGGCAGCTTTTCTTTTCTCTTTCTTCCTCTGATCTTTCCCTTTGTGTCTGTTGCTGGGTAAATTTGATTTAAACAAACGTCATTCCAATTGTTCCTGTCGCTCTCGTGCTGCTGTTCCCTCGTACTTATAATAGGGAGGAGAATGATCCAGAGGCCTTGTAAAGGATTCAGACTGAGGGCAGGGATCCTGGGGGGTTTGGAGATAGGAGTGAGGTGTTTATTTATCTTTAAATTACGCATTTAGTTTACAGCAATTCAGATTAAAGTTAGCCCCCCCCCCCCCCCCTGTCAAAAACACAATTTACTTCCAGTTGTTCTAGCCAACAAGCTTAGAGAAAAAGTGGCTATGGACTTGGATTGCTGTCTCGTACCTTCTCCAGATCTTACTCTGTTACAAACCAACTGATCAGCTGACGTTGCCGGGTTTATATCGTGGTTACGGGAGCTAAATGCTGCTCCTCTTCTGAGGCACAGTCTGTTGATTCTGTATCGGGGCGCTGATGCAGAAGTGATAACGAAGAGCACATGTTTTACTCTGGAAGCACAAACCAGCAGACGTGTTAGCCAGTGGTTGTCTCTTTGCAGGAATGCAAAGTACGAGACCTCTCTCGCATCTTGTCTGGGCCGGTTGTATTTGCAATTAACAGAACAGGCTCCTGTGGAAATGACATTGGACCCCATCCAGAACCAAGACACACAAGACTGTCTGGATTTAGGTCTGTTTGCATTGTGTCTTAAGGTTTTACAAGACTTGCAATCTGTGCAAATCTCTAGAGTCTGTATAACATTTACTGTAATCTATTAATATGATCTGTACACTAGAAGTTTTCTCCCTTTTGTTAAAAAAAATTTTTTTTATTGCACGATCAAGGATTGCCGTCTCTTTTAGTGAAAGCGTTAGCAGGAAAATGCTCCGTAAGCTCTGCACGATGAATTAACTCCATAAGCTGTACAGGGCTTTCATCCTGAAGACGTCTGTAGATGGATGGACGGTTGATATTGACTCGCTGCGGGCTGAGCCGAGTGTGTGGGCTGGTCTTGGCTAACGTCAGCGCCTCATTAGCTGAACCCTGCTGTGTGCTCGTTGGCTCAGAGGCAGTGGTGCAGAGCCTGGCCTGTTTCCACCGAGCCTCTTCCTGTCTCCTCGCCCTCTCTCTTCATCTTTATTATCCTCCCTTTCGTTCTTACTTTTGTAACTCCCTCCTCATGGCCTCACCCCTCCCTGCTCTTTCTCCACAGAGGGTGATGAATAGCATTGTCCGTGAGTGATGCCATCGCTGGCAGCCCAACGTGTCCTTGCAGTTTGCTAAGATTACAGCTTGTTTTTTGCGCATAATTTCTGGTATTTGTTTTTGTCTTTCCTCCCCCGCCGAGTTTTTTTTCTCTATCCTCTCAGCCCATACCATTTTAATCTCACTTCTTTCATTCCTATAACTCTCACGCTGTCACTGTCATCCTTTTCATTTCTTTGTTGCTCGAGTGCATTGAAACCCAGCTGTAGCATGCTCAATATCGGACATTTTAACGAGAAACGGACCGTTTCAAGCACACGCCCAAACTCAAGACAAGTTAGTCTTACACATGAACATATAACGACCGATGCTGAGCTAGTAAATTAAGTGAGTAGCTTAAATTCACAGGGTAGATCTAAAGACACAAGTTATCCGTGTTGTGCTGGTTTTCAATTTGTAGGAAACATAGTTAGGTTACTGAGCAGTCCGTGCCGTCCTCGTGTTTGTGGTTCAGGTATTGAGATGTGCAGAAAACTGTGTGTGGGGGTGCTTAGACGTGTCCTCACTTTACCCGATTATTGCTGTGGTGCTTAATTTCGTTGTTTGCTGATCAAAAGAGGAGGAAGAAGAAACGTATCTGTTTCAGCGTCTCTGGTGGAAACAGATTTATTTACCTCGGTGGGGAAACAGTCCGACGGGCCGGCTTTTCTTGTAAATATCTCGTATCTTTGTTTATATCTGCTCTCCACATTGTCTGATCGGAGAGCCATGATATAGTGTTTTCAGACATTTAGAGATTCAATGTTTATTGCGTGTGTGGGTGAGCTGTTGAGCTGCTCCCTGACTGCCCGAGCACCTCTACTTCATGTGCATATATGGCCTCGGCTCCTGGTGTCGTCTCTTAGGTATTCTCGGCCTGACGATGGCCAGGGACCAGAGTAGACCAGGACGCCACTTCATTCAGGCTGTATGAAGAGTAACAACATGGCAGTCATTTCTGAGCATTTGGTGTGCATCGTTGTACATTTCCATCTGGCCTTGAACGGCTGAACAGCATCTATTTGATGTGCTAAGGATGTGAGCCTTTGTGTGGAGGAGAGAGCAAGTTGCAGGGGCTGATTGTGCTCTTGTTTCTGCCGCTGGCACCGCTGATGTGTGGTTATGTAAGCATCCTGCTTTGTGGGCAGATGAGACTGCGGCAAAGTGTGTCCAGTTGTTTTGTAGGAATTACCGGCCCACTGCTGGAGCCCACTATCTCTCCTCTAATTAGCTTAATGCACTTAGGAGTCGGCTCACAAACACAACTGCACCCTTGAATCACGTTGAACTGTGCTGGATAATCATTATAATCTTCCTCTCCTTTCCTGTCCTCCTTTGCAAGAAGAGAAGGTTTTTTCTTTTTTACATTTTTGAAGTGAAAGCATTGTGTCCCCTTTTTTAAGTTTTTCACTGTATTGACTTTGTTCTTATTCTTCTTTTGTCCTTTTGCCCCTTTTTAGGTAAGGTTTGTTGGATCCCCTCTGTATGTCAGTGTGTGTGTGTGTGTGTGTGTGTGTGTGTGTGTGGGGGTGTGTTTTCTTTCTCCCACTCTGCAGTTGACCTCATTGTAACACCCTTTTACAGTGTACCGTAGGCTAATGGCCTCTGTCAGCTTCCTCCTCTTTGCTTCATAATCACTAAACCTTTATTTCAATCTGCACAAAGAGAATGACGTGCTTCGATTTGAACAAAAATCCATTTTAAATCAAGGTCGATTTAGGAAGCCATGATTCCATCACATCCCTTAGAATCATCGTCTCCACGTATATATTTTTATCGTTTCCTCTTTGAGTTTCCGTTGCTGCTGTCGGGTATCTGATTGGCTGTAACCACGGCTCAGACTTTGAATGGCTTGCAGAGTAGACAAAGTTTCCCCCCCCTCTGCTTGTTTGCCTGTTTCTACCTCCAAACCTGTGAGACTTGTATGTTTGTGGTCATTATGTGGGACTGAGATGTGTGTGTATCTGTTACTGACCGGGCCATAGAGTCAACTTACAGGGAGAATCTCACCACCCTTCTACACCCCCGACTGTCTCCGTCCCCATGGTTAAACGCTCCCTTCCTCCCCCCGTTTCTTTGCCCCTCCTGCACAGCATGTTTGTCCCAGAGGTGCAACTCCTGCCTGCCTCAAACCGTCACACTCACCTGGGGCTTTAAGCAGTGTTGGAGGTAACACGCTGAACTCCCACTTTCACACCATAGAGTGAAATGTAACGCTCCAGACGGGGTGCACAGTTGACATTTCCAAGTGTACTTTGGTAAAAACCTGCTGCCACTTAGCAAAGCAGACCCCACTCTAAGCACTGCTCAAAGCCTTGCTGGCTCTTTCCTCGGGTACATTTTATGTGTGTGTCATGTGTTCACTTGTTCCGGGGTCGAGCACATCCCTAAACAAGCTTGCTGGCTGTAGGCGAGCGAGGAGGAAATGAAAGAATCTCTGGGAGATTTGTTGAAAAACAAAAAAAAAGCTCAAAGGGGGAAAATGGTGGTTATCCCTAGAGGCGTCTGTCATCTCAGACTAGATATTAAACCACAGCTGTGTCCCAAATCATTCACTCACTCACTACTTCCTGGTGAACGTCTAGTTGGACTTCATAGTGAGCTCACCAGCAAAGTGAAATCAGACGCTACTCGCCTATTTTCTCTGTGTCGTTAATTACGTCATAGCTGTCGCGCGATTAAAATGTGCCGGATCGACGACGTCTGTTGGACCATACATGATAAATACATGATAAATACACGATACATGATAAATACACGATACATACAGTTGTGTGAAAAACTGTTTGCCCCCTTCCTGATTTCTTATTTTTTTTGCATGTTTGTCACACTTAAATGTTTCAGATCAAACAAATTTAAATATTAGACAAAGATAACACAAGTAAACACAAAATGCAGTTTTTAAATGAAGGTTTTTATCATTAAGGGGGAAAAAAATCCAAACCTACATGGCCCTGTGTGAAAAAGTGATTGCCCCCTAAACCTAATAACTGGTCGGGCCGCCCTTAGCAGCAACAACTGCAATCAAGTGTTTGCGATAACTGGCAATGAGTCTTTTACAGCGCTGTAGAGGAATTTTGGCCCACTCATCTTTGCAGAATTGTTGTAATTCAGCCACATTGGAGGGTTTTCGAGCATGAACCGCCTTTTTAAGGTCATGCCACAGCATCTCAATCGGATTCAGGTCGGGACTTTGACTAGGCCACTCCAAAGTCTTAATTTTGTTTTTCTTAAGCCATTCAGAGGTGGACTTGCTGGTGTGTTTTGGATCATTGTCCTGCTGCAGAACCCAAGTGCGCTTCAGCTTGAGGTCACGAACAGATGGCCGGACATTCTCCTTCAGGATTTTTTGGTAGACAGCAGAATTCATGGTTCCATTTACCACAGCAAGTCTTCCAGGTCCTGAAGCAGCAAAACAGCCCCAGACCATCACACTACCACCAACATATTTTACTGTTGGTATGATGTTCCTTTTCTGAAATGCTGTGTTACTTTTACGCCAGATGTAATGGGACATACACCTTCCAAAAAGTTCAACTTTTGTCTCGTCAGTCCACAGAGTATTTTCCCAAAAGTCTTGGGGATCATCAAGATGTTTTCTGGCAAAACTGAGACGAGCCTTTATGTTCTTTTTGCTCAGCAGTGGTTTTCATCTTGGAACTCTGCCATGCAGGCCATTTTTGCCCAGTCTCTTTCTTATGGTGGAGTCATGAACACTGACCTTAATTGAGGCAAGTGAGGCCTGCAGTTCTTTGGATCTTGTTCTGGGGTCTTTTGTGACCTCTTGGATGAGTCGTCGCTGCGCTCTTGGGGTAATTTTGGTCGGCCGGCCACTCCTGGGAAGGTTCACCACTTTTCCATGTTTTCGCCATTTGTGGATAATGGCTCTCACTGTGGTTCGCTGGAGTCCCAAAGCTTTAGAAATGGCTTTGTAACCTTTTCCAGACTGATAGATCTCAATTACTTTGTTTCTCATTTCTTCCTGAATTTCTTTGGATCGCAGCATGATGTCTAGCTTTTGAGGATCTTTTGGTCTACCTCACTTTGTCAGGCAGGTCCTATTTAAGTGATTTCTTGATTGAGAACAGGTGTGGCAGTAATCAGGCCTGGGTGTGGCTAGAGAAATTGAACTCAGCTTTCCAAAGATGTGATAAACCACAGTTAATTTATGTTTTAACAGGGGGGGGGGGCACAATCACTTTTTCACACAGGGCCATGTAGGTTTGGATTTTTTTCCCCGTTAATAATAAAAACCTTCATTTAAAAACTGCATTTTGTGTTTACTTGTGTCATCTTTGTCTGATATTTAAATTTGTTTGATGATCTGAAACATTTAAGTGTGACAAACATGCAAAGAAATCAGGAAGGGGGCAAACACTTTTTCACACAACTGTACATGATAAATACATGATAAATACATGATAAATACACAATACATGCATGATAAATACACGATAAATACATGATAAATACACGATACATACATGATAAATACACGATAAATACATGATAAATACACGATAAATACACGATACATACATGATAAATACACGATACATACATGATAAATACATACATGATAAATACCGACATGCATGTTTGTGTTAAATACATGTTAGATATTTACTTGAGTTTCATATTTTAGCGAAATTAGTGAATTTAAGTTTCCCCCTGGTCGGTAGTGATGCAGCTTTTATGTCTCGGGCTTTTATTGTGAAACAGAAAAAAGGAAGTGGTAAAGTGGTACATGCTGTCATTGTCATTGTGGGGGCGTATTTTTCTAAATTGCCAAATACTTTGTGGGTGTTTGTGTTGTGAAGCTCTCTCTCTCTCTCCTCTCAACCGTCTGCCAATGCAATGCACGATGGTCCGTAGTTCTCGGTTCGTGACCATCGGTTGTACACTATTCTTCACGATGCATTGTGGGTACTTTGAGTCCACTATAGGGTGTAATAATAATAATTCTCACCATACATTCGGGCGGCAAACAAAATGGCGAACTCACTATTAAATCCACTGTAATGAGAAGAGTGGTTTTGGACATGCGTGTGTGTATGTATGTATGTATGTATGTATATATATATATATATATATATATATATATATATATATATAAATCAAAAAGTAGATGTTACTTTTGATTTATGGCTTTTTTGGCTTTACCTATCAGAGTTAATATGCCATCAGACATTTTTTTTAAATCATTGCATCACGCAGTACAGCACCTCCACAGACACTACTGATGGGGATTCTGATCGTTTCTGCTCGGTGAAGGTAAAAAGTGAAGGTTTTTACTGACTTGGTAAAGGGGGTTGGTAGTTTGGTAACTTGGGGGCATATTGTGGTCGAGACGACGCCCGGCTAGGAGCCTGGGGACGGGGACGAGTGGTTGGGAGAGAGTGGTGAGAGGAGACCCCTGTAAGCACCTAGCCCTGAGTGAAGGGTGACACACTGAAGCCCCTCTGGTATTAAACCCCCCTAAACCACACTCCCAACCCCACCCTCCCTTCTCTATGTGCCTCAATCTTCCTGCTTAACCAATTGGTGTTTCTTTTTTACAGCGATTTGATCCTGCCCATGTTGTGCTGATGGTAAACTTAGTGGTAAATGTTATTTTATCCCCCAATTGAATTGTTTTTTTAATTTTCTTTTAATTTCTCCCATTTGTTTTGTTTTCCTCTCATCAGAGCACCAATGCTACATAGGCTTTCTATCCTCTCTGTATTAGTCCTCATTCTGCTGCTTGTGTATTATCATGCGTATGTTTACTCTAGAACGTTGTCATTTTGTTTGTTTTCAGTTTTTTTTGTTTTTGTTTTTTTGAAACCTTGTGATTCACACCCTGTGATTTAGATGCACATTGTTTTTGTCTGGTCCCTTTCTTTTCCACTGGAATGGGTAATGTGGAAGTATTGTCACTGTGTTTAAAGATTGGTGATAGTTTGGGATGACTGTAATTGTTCATTAATCTGTAATTCTGGGCCTGGCTCGTGACTCGGTTCAGACAGACCACTGCAGTGGCTGACACACAGACCCAAGGTTTCACTTCTCTACCGCTGTAGAGTAGACGTAGATATCGCACAATCCGTTCTCTCAACGCAATCACAAAATAAAAGAGCTGGCTTCTCCAGCTGACGGACACTGCAGTGGGACTGAGAGTCCAGCTAGGCCGATACATGTTCCAATGCCCATGCATCTATGATTTCACAATGAACATGTCATTGGGCTGTGATGACTAAATTACTCACGGAGGAGGAATGACACAGATATTGGCTTTGAGTAATATTCTTACCTTCCTCCGTCCAGGAAGGTAGGAGGAAGTAGCTCAATATAAAGTCATAAATTCATAGATTAAAGCCTCTAAATGCATTCATATTTAGTACATTATACATGCTGTCTCTGGGCTCAAAGGATTTAATTAAATAAATAAACCAGTGGCCCGACTCGGCTCATCCATCACAGCAATTACACTTTAATTGTATATTTTCAAGCCCAATGCTTGTTATTCCATGTGCCCAATGGTATACATACAATAATAATTTAAAACAAATTGAAATATGTGGGAGAAAAAAGAAAAAAAAAACTGAAACCAAACTGAATTGACAATCCGTGAGATTGATTATTGTCTGTGGCTGGCATCAGGAGCAGCAGAACTAGTCCAAATTATTTATGTGCCTTTTTGTTTTGAGCCCCGCCCCCCCCCCCCCCCCCTGTCTGTCTGTCCCCCCCCCCCCCCATGTTTTACCAGGTAAGTATCCCCATCCCTTGCACTGTCACCATGGCGATACCTGGCCTGTGACGTCACTCTGCTGTAGTTCAGTGCTTGTCCTTTTTTAATTTGACTGTCTTTCTCTCTGCTTTGTTTGGCTGATTTGAGTGGATTAAGCAATTCTGTGTCAATCTCCAAAGTAGTTTTGATTTTTTTTTTTTTTTTATATATCTTTAATGTTTCATTCTGGTTTGTTTGGTTGTCTTTGGTTTGTTTATTTTCCTACAGTTAATTTCCTTCCGATCCAGCTCTTTTCACAGCTTACGTAACGTAGAAAAATAAATAACTTTGTAGCTTCTAGTTATGATGACGAGGGGGGGGGGGGAGACAAGGGAGCAAATTTGGGACTCGGGACAGTTGAAGGGGCTTGCAAGGGTCAGCCAGATGATGCAACAGGCCTCTGATAACATCGGGAGGCTTTGTTCCTCTCATGGAGGGTGTCGCAGTGGCAGCCTCCATGCTCGGCCCGTTGCAACTCCCTTCACACACACACACACGCAGCCCCTCAAGCTGTAGTGTCCTTGGTAAATTTGGCATTCTGGGACTGCAGCAGTGAGCGGGTGGAGGAGGGGTGGTGGGCGGTGCGACCCCACTGAAAAGATAAGTAAACAGATCGGCTCAAAGCTGACCGTCTTGTTTCTAGTGAACTGTATCCGTCTCTGCTGCCCCTTCACTCACTTAATCGTTGCAGCTAATTTGACTCAATCACAATGCAGATCAGCAGCCAGGTCCAGTGTGAGGAACCTTAAACGATAAATTGGTCTCCTCTTGGTGGCTGCAGTGAGCTGTGAGAATGGCTGGTGTTTGGTTCACTGTAGCTTTCTGGTCTCTTTGCACTTCAAGGCAAAAATTCTCTAACCCCAGCACCCTATGCTCTAAAAGCAGACTGTCTCCGAGCTGGCCCCCCGTCCCCGTCTCAGAGACTCACCTCGTCCTCTCTCTGTCTCTTTTCCCTCAGGACGCACCGACCCCGTGCCCATCACCCTCAAATATGATGTCATGGGGATGGGACGCATGGAGATGGAGGTAAGACGCCGTTTGTTTGATCCCCATTGCTTGTTACATCATTCTTAAAGAGGACGTAGTAGAAGCATCCGGCAGGTCTTTAATGTCCTGCTACACATTATTAATGTCCTGCTACACATTATTAGTGTCCTTTTTAGCTTTTTTTTGTCTAAGTAACTCGCACCTATTTTTGTGATGGAACAAAAAAATACAACTGTACACTTTGTGAATTCAAGTTTCTTTCTCAGAACTATGACTGAACTTAGCTTAAGGATCGTTTAACTGCTTTCAACAACTCTGGTTCGATCAGAAAAAAACCCTTAATTCATAGTCGGATGTGAAAATATGCTGACTCTAGACTACATGCAGCTTTTCCCTATTTGTCTTGTTTTCCCTCTTGTTCTTTGGAGGCAGACTATTAAATAACATGTACTCAGCTAATCACTGATATCGATATGTATTTGTTGAATTGTCCAAACCCAGCAGCTTAAAGGAACAGTTTGTTGCATGAACGGGGAATATAATAGCAGAAATAGAATAGTTTTCTTTAGTGTATGATCACCTGAAAATAAGTATCGTGTTTTTGTTGGACCCTTTCTTAGTTGAGGTCTCACCTTTTTTCTCACCCTCTTCAACCTTAGTTCGCTGCAACGACTGCTGAGAGGTATTTTAAATCAAGAACGTGTGGTAACACACAACCATTGATCATTCACCCAAGTGCTGACATGCCAAACGATCTGTAAGAATTATTGGGTGATTTAAATCCATGAAGATCTGTGGCAGAAAACACACAACTGAGCTGCAGAGCACCATGCGTGCACAGAGCCAAGTGTTCAGCTGGAGTCGTGTAAAGCTCGGCAGCATCGGTCTGTTGAGCAGTAAAAAGCATTCTCTGAAATGATCAATCATGCTTCACCAGCCTGACACGCACATCTGATCGTGGCGGATTTCCAGCAGAGCACTCACCTGAATGAATTTATGGGTGCCGAATGTTAATCGGTCAGACAGATTCATGGTGCCGGTTACGTCTCAATGCTACGACGTGACCCTGAGCGCAAAGCACGGTGGTTTGTCAAGACGTCTGTTAAAGAGCCCTGACCCCCAACAAACACCGTAGAGATGGGACAGCCCATCAGACATGAGATATCATAAGATGTAGTAACGCTTGCTGCCTCAATAAACGCACAGATGCTTCACATCTGCCGCCTGCAGAACGCAAACGTTCCTGGAAATTCAGTTCCTGCCGAGTATCATTCATCTCTCTTGGGGAGGATTCTCCCTTTTGCATTAATGCGGCTACGTAGATGGACTTGTTTTGATACAGCCAACTGACTAAATAGGATTTCAGTCGGACTGAAGCAATCTGTCGGCATCAGAAACACAAAACGGACCAATCGGACCCCCGGTAGCCCGTATGTGCCAACGGCATAACAGCTTGTCCACTCGGTTTACTAAAACCATGAATGGAATATAAGATGAAGTTGGACCGCTCCCTTTTGATTTCAGCTGGACTATGCAGAGGACGCCACAGAGAAGAGAAGAGTGCTCGAAGTGGAGAAGGAGGACACAGAAGAACTGCGGCAGAAATACAAGGTGAGGTCCTTCAGTGGTGTGTTATCCTGAGAGTCAGTGCTGGTTCTATCACGCATACTGGTAGGGCTGCTGTAGTACGATCTAAAAAGTGGAATTAAAAACACATTCACTCGTTCCTTCATGTATTTCCTATCGACAACAGGACCAGGTGGAAAAGGAGAAAGCCATCGCAAAGGCTCTGGAAGACCTGAGAGCCAATTTCTACTGTGAGCTATGTGACAAACAGTACACCAAACACCAGGAATTTGACAACCACATCAACTCTTACGACCACGCTCACAAGCAGGTACTTGTGATGATCAGTTCACTCTTAATGGAGATCTGTTGTCTTTGTTTCCTGTGAGAGCAGAGATCCTGATGTTTTTGTTTCTCCCCGTCTTTAATCCTAATGCAGCGGCTTAAAGAGCTCAAGCAGAGAGAGTTTGCTCGCAACGTTTCATCCCGGACCCGTAAAGGTGGGAAGAAGCATGAAAAGATGCTGCGCAGACTGCATGAGCTGGCCGAGCAGAGGAAACAACAGGACCGGTAAGGATTTGTTCCTGGACTGCCCTCTGCTGGCTGGATTTGAACATGTATCTGTGGTTGTAGCACAATAGCATGTCTGCTGTGTTTTGAAGGGTCACCGTCCAACAAAGACCACATATTAAAACCAAAAATATAGATTTAATATATTATTCTAACACTCTCACACTAGGTCAAATTATAGAATTTAGACTTGTCTAGAGGACCTTGATCCCGAAATGAAGACGGTTAAATACTTTAATAATTCCTTCAATGTCTATTTTTAGTTGATAAAACTGAATCCTGATACTGAAGACGAGGCTTAGCAGAGGGTCAATCACGTCCTGATGCCACATCTCATTATCATGCGTTTGTGTTTCAGTACTCCAGGAAGTGGGCCCATGTTCAAACCTACCACAGTTGCGGTGGATGGAGAGAAGTCAGAAGATGGCGACCTGACGCCTGAGAACATGGCTCTAACAGACTGTGTCCTGGAAGGATCTTTTGCAGACAAAAGTGAGGAAACTTCCCCAAAGCCAGCTCCAACCATCAGCTTCTCTCTGGGGAAGAGCAGCGCCACTTCCCCAACACCTAGTGGAGCATCCAAAGTCAGCGTGTCCTTCTCTTTCGCCAAGAAAGCCCCAGTGAAGCTGGAGACGGTTGCTGCAGTGTTTGCAGATCATGGAGAGGAAGCTATGGAGGAAGAGGAGGGCCAGGAGGGAGAAAAGGCCGGAGGGCAAGAGGAGACATCTGGCAGCAGCACAAACAGCCCGAAGGAAGGATCAGGATCAGAAGGAGGGGAAGGAGGAGAGAGCGCTGTCATCGTGGTGGCGGCGGCGGCGACGACGGAGGAGGTGCAGCAGCCTGACGACGGAGCCTCTTTAGCCTCCACTCTCCACAAACTGAAGATGATGATGAAAAAAGAGGAAGGATATGCTGGACAGGAGCCCGAGTACTATCACTACATACCTCCGGCTCACTGCCGGGTAAAGCCTCACTTCCAGTTCTTGTTGTTCATGAAGGCCACTGATCAGTGTCTGATCAAAGTGGAAGAGGAAGAGCTGCAGGAGGAGGAGGAGGAAGATGGAGAAGAGGAGGAAGAGGAAGAAGAAGAGGAGAAGAAGAAGGTTGAAGATAGTCCTGAACAGACAGAACCCGACGTCACAGAGTGCATGACTGAAAAAGAACAAGATAATATCACTTCACCCCCGGACCCAGAGCCAGCTCCTCCATCGCCTAAATTAGAGATGGAGGATGTCTCTTCGTTAGAGGCAGATACAGCTCCCATTGTACCCACTTCACCTCCACAAAAAGCAGAGAGCACACAGGATGCTCCTGATTCCAACTCAGGTCCTAAAATCCCCACAGGTCCCTTCTTCCCAGTCCTGAGTAAAGATGAGAGCACTACCCTGCAGTGGCCCTCTGAGCTCCTCGAGTTCACAAAAGCCCAGCCTTCCCTGTCTTACAGCTGTAATCCGCTCTACTTTGACTTCAAGCTGTCCCGCAACAAAGGAGTGCGTGGCGGGAAAGCGGCAAAGTCCTCAAAGCCTTGTGAAGAATCTGATCACAAGGGGAAAGAGTTGGCTGCCTCCACCGCTGAAGGAGATAAGACTAATAAAGCTGGGACCAGCGCTGACAAAGACAAGCCAACGATGACGGGAGAGCCCGGACAACCAGAAAGTGAGGAGCAAAAGCTTGCAACTGGCAGCAGTAGCGCCAAGAAGAAAAAGAAAAAGAAGAAGCATAAGAAGTCTGCAAAGCACTCAAAACGCAAAGGAAAAGACAAGGGAGCCAAAGACGATGCGGAGGGCGAGACTGAGGCGACGCAAGAGAAGCCCAAAAAGAAGAAAAAACACAAACGGAAGAAAAGCAAAAACAAGGCTCCGGATCAAGAAGAGGCAGCAGGGGTGGAAAAGGAAAAAGTAAAGGAGAAAGAAAAGGAGAAACCAAAGTCAGAAGAAAAAGCTGTTACGGTGACAACTGGAGGGGGAGGGGCTACGGGAAATACAGGAAATACAGGAGTAGAGTCGGGGAAGAGGAAACGTGCTGCTAAGGAAGTGCCTTCCAAGTCTGGAGCAGAGGAAGGAGGAGCCGGAAAAGGCACCGACAAGGTCAACTCCTCAGAGGAGCACAGCGCCAAGCGGCGAAAGACGGACTCCAGTGCACCTCAAAGTGCCTCCTGCTCCACCTCGGCCCAAAAGAGTCCCGGTCCCGGTAGACCTCCCAGCAGCGAGAGTGAAGAAGAAGGCGGCTCCAATGCTCAGCGCTCACGTCATCACAGGTCAAGTCCTCGGGAACAACGGCGCCACCACAGTGAGGAATCGCGCCGGTCCTGCAGCCGCTCCTCGAGACGGGGGGAGAGACGGGGCAGCAGTCGCCGACGCCATCGTGGCCAGACCACCCGCAGTCACTCGTACTCCAGCAGCTCCGAGCGCTCCTCGGCGGGCAGCAGCGCCTACAGCCGCCGGAGCTACTCGGACAGCGACAGCGAATACAGCAAAGAGGGTCGCAGACGGAGGCACTCCAAACGCTCGTCAGACTCCGAGTATGAGCGGAGGGGGAGCCGAGGACGGAGACGGTCCAGGAGACATCGGTCCTCTTCTTCCTCCTCAGAAGACTCCCGCTCACGTTCACGCAGCTACAGCCGCAGGAAGAGGCACCGGCGGCACCATCGTAGCAGCTCCAGAAGCTCCAGCAGCTGGAGCCGCAGCACCAGCGCGAGATCCTGGAGGCGCAGCTACAGCCGCAGCCACAGCTCCGCCAGCCGCTCCTCCAGTTCCACCAAAGGCTCGTCTCGCCGACGAGCCCCCAGGGCTCGAGTAGACACCGACGCACAGCGCAAAGACTTCAACCGCTCTTGCATCTACCGCTCCCAGTCTCCACGTTCATCTTCGTCGCGAGGCCTTAACCGCAACAATCATTCATCCAGCTCGCAGTCTCTGAGGCCAGGAGGGTCACGGGATGCAGGGGAGCAGAAGAACAGCCTCACTGCTCGCCAGCTGCTGGAGAAGGTTCAGTCTAAGAAGAGCTCTAATGATTCTACCACAGGAACAAAATCTGGGCTGAAGATCAAGGACCCACCACAGGGATACTTTGGTCCCAAACTACCGCCGACCCTGGGAAGCAAAGCCATGCTGCCGCTCTTTGGTAAGCTGCAGGCTGCGAAGAAACCGATGATTCCTCTGACCCGACCCAATGAGGGAGAGAAGTCGGGAGCAGGGAAGTGCTCTGAGCCAGAGGTTATCCTGGTAGAGCCCATCAGGGAGTTCCCCCCTCCACCACCACCTCCGGCTCCACCGGTCCAGAAGGTGGAGGAGGCCCCACAGGTCACAGTGGTGCAGGAGGAGGCACCCCATCCCACTCCAGAGGCCCAGCTGCACCAAGAACCCCATCCGTTGTTTGAACAGGACCCTTCCATGACGATGCCCCAGTACCAAGTAGAACCGGGACAGGACCCCTCTCAAAATCCCATGATGGACCCGCTCATGACAGAAATGCAGCAGCCACCAATGCACGCCTACCCTGCTTACCCACCGCCCACCCTGGAGGAGGAAGTCATGGAGGCAGAGGAGGACGGACTGGCTCCTCTAGAGAGTCAGCCCATTACGTTCACACCGGAGGAAATGGAGAAATACAGCAAGCTGCAGCAGGCGGCGCAGCAGCACATCCAGCAGCAGCTCATGGCCAAGCAGGTCAAGCAGTTTCCCGCCGCAGCTGCAGCCGCCGCCGCCGCCGCCGCAGCAGCTGCCCAGATGGTCCCGGCTCCCCCTCCCCAGGCCATGCAGCAGATCCACATCCAGCAGCCCACCATGTCCATGCAGTCCGGCACGTCGATCACCACGGTGCAACACGCCATCCTGCAGCACCATGCCGCCACCGCTGCGGCCATGGGCCTCCACCCGGCACACGCCCACCACCCACACCCTGCACATGCCCAGTTGGCCCAGGTACACCACCACATTCCCCAGCACCACCACCTTACCCCCATCTCCCTGTCTCATTTGAGCCACTCCCTCGGTCACTCTCTGGGACACCAGCTACAACACGCCGGGCTGATTCCTGCCCACCACACAGCCTTCCTCTCTGGTCAGCCTATCCATATTATCCCAGCGTCTGCACTCCACCACAGTCCCTTAGCTCTCCACCATCTACCACATGCAGCCCTCTACCCCACCCTTTTCTCACCCCGGCCCTCTCAGGCTGCTGCAGCAGCGGCTCTCCAACTCCACCCACTGCTACACCCAATCTTCTCAGGGCAGGACCTCCAGCACCCACCCAACCACGGCTCCTGAGTAATGATACAAGTGAACGAGTATAGTCCCAGCACCCAACCACTGGAAGAAAGACTTCACCTGAGCCGGCTTGGTTCAGGACTTTAAGATGAAGTCTGTGCAGCAACACGCAGGCAGTGAGAGACAGGCAGCTGTCGATAAACTTCCCTTTGACCGGCCAGCACAGCGCAGACGTTGTAGCCACAAAGTGGTGCTGCCTGTGTTGGGTCCAAAATGGACGTCAACTTTTTCTTCTGGCTTGTGAGAATTTTTCTTTTTCATGTTTTGCCCCAAATTTGTAAACCGGAGGGGTAGATTTAACAAGACTTCCTCAACACTTTAGTTTCTATTCCAGCTTGAGGTCTATTAACAACACGTATTTGTGTTTCAGTGATTAATCAGAGAAACCACTGGAGTCTCTTTTTTTGTTTTCCACGTACAAAATATTCAGTTTTTGTTCATTCTGACAGCCAAAGAGACGTAACGGCTGACTTCATGTTAAGAGTACGTGCTCAGCGAACAGCTTCGACTCTGTAATGTAACCTTCAGAGACGTACTTATATTTACTGATAGTTTGTTTTCATATGACTACTTGCTCTCTATTGGCTCCTCAGTCTCTCTTTGTAATGCAGTAACTTGTACATATATCAGTGTGTAATGTGAAGAATCCCACCAATGGTGACCACATGAAATTACAGCTATGGTGTACAAATCGGTATGACATAAGAAGGTCCTCTCTCGGGTGACGTCGGGGGCTTGAATCCCTGATGCTCTGAGGCAGAGCTCATGTTCCCTGTGGTGAGGGTGCACCTGAATAAATTGCACTGAAATCTGTACATCGAGGTGGTGCGTTTGCATCATGTAACAATAAGATTGTAGTATACTGCAATAATTGTATTTTTCTGTTTTTAAATTATTTTCCAGAATGCTCTTCAAAAGAAGAGCTGTGTTTTTGCTTTTGTGTAATTTTGTAAATAAAACTGCTGTAGATTAACCTATTAACATTCTAGAGGTTTTGGTTTTTGGAAAAAGCAGAATGAAGAGCTGGAAGGAAGGCGGTCACATGTACCTATTTTATCACGTTTGTTTATAAATGAGCCCGCTTCAGATGGAAAAGATGGTGATCTGTCAAACAGTAGCAACTCTGTATTTTTTAAGAACTTACTGTTTCAGCAAATAAAATCTTTGAGTTCATGCGTGTCTTCCTATGATATGTTGGGTCAGGGACTAAATTAAACTCTAGATGGCGCCCTCGTTACCATGAAACTAAGAGCAGCAGAGTTAGCGCCCCTCAGTTTCAGAACAGAACCATTTAAAGAAGTCACACACAGGAAATGAAACATGTTTTATTCTATTAAGAGAATTAAAGTCACTCACATAGTGAGACTAGACAGAAGCTTCAATCCAAGAGAAATTAGTTTAACTATTACGAACAGATCCTTGTTGCCACATGTTATGCACATAACGCAGAAAACAAGCGATTCTTTAGGGACTATTCTTGAGTTGTAATGAAACACGGAGCATTGCGAGTATTTCTCTATGAACCAACAAGGCAGAATGACGCGGAAAGATTGAGATACAAAACAGAGCTGTTCACTGGAGGAAGAAGCTGAGAAAGATCAGTTTGAAGTATTTTGGCTCCAGTCACGAGAGATTTACAGTTTCAGTGGTTTTGATAAAGTAGATTCTGGATTTGTGGCAGTAATCTAAGGAAAGCAGCAGATCTATTATCAAAGTCCAACGCTCTATTGGAGCTTCAAGTGGAATAAAATACTGTTATTAAGGTCTTTATCAACCTTTACCATTTTGCAAAAGGTGCCCAAAATAACTTAAATGGTGGAAAACAAACTCATGGCACGATTTATAAAAAGAAGACTCAAATCTGATGTTAAGTCCATTCTGCCACTTTTCATATCATGAGGGATGATGCGCTGCATAAACGTCCACGACTGATCCGCAGCCGTCGCTGTGGGAGGGGTCAGCCCAGGTATCTGATGACCAGGAACATGAAGACGCAGGTCAACAGCATGCCTCCGATCATGATCAACTTATCTTGGGTGGCTCGCCTTTCTATCAGTCGCATCACCGTGTTCGACAGCCCCAACATGTTGGCCACATCCAGCATCTTCTTGTGGGTCCCCTGTGCAGAGCGAAGATCAACGTGTTAGATGAAGTTATTAACAGCCATGAGTACACTTCAGTGTTTTGGAAAATGCAGGCATAACATGAACGTATTGTAATTATCTCAATCCTAATTTGTCGGATTTTGGGAGACGTTGCGCGCCGACACCCTGCCCCGACGCGCCGCTCCGTCAGAGGTTTCTCATGGCGAGACAAGCTGATCAACACGGACGCACCCTGATAAGAGGCCCGGAGCAAAACCAGGAAGACCGTCTCCTCCCTGGAAACAAGGACTCACCCTCTAGCTGAACACGAGCACAGCAACAATAAGACTATTGTGATCGGTGAACACCAGAACACCGGGTCAGGGAATGTACAGTTTACCCCGTAGCTGTCCAGGGAAAGTACCTTTCTATCAGGGATGTTGTGAAGTACCGCTACTGATGATAACTGTGATACTTATCATTTGAATTAATACTCATGAATCATGCTTTTGTACAATTATGGTTACAGACTCTCTCCATTCGTGTTTTGGGGGAAATTTATTTGCCAAAAAAAAGACAAAACGCACAATTGACAAAGATGAATTTGACTGATATCATTTCTATGACAGCCTTACCTTCCATACTGGTTCCTTTATCTAGAAATAAAGAGTGATGTGCTCTGCAGAAGGATATTTTTCATTTGGGGATCTTGTATTAAATCGCGCGCACACACCTTCAGAGTAGATCTCTGGTCTCTGAGACCGTTGAGGATGCCGCTGCCGCTGCCCAGGATGTCATCCATGCCTCTGTGTGCGTTGTGCAAGTTGGAGTTCAACTGTAGGGTCTCATCTATGGGGATGGAGGTATCTGCGTCCTATTGGACAAAAACAAACGTTCATTTTTTTTCTTTATTCCACATTATTCAGCTTGAGACATTTGCATTCTATTCTGATGAACTAGCCAGCATGTCAACCAGACAAAGAATCAGAGTTCACGGAGCGCTATCGCATTTGTACCAACCCTCTTTTTATTAGACGACTGAACCTGAGCTCTGTAGCAACACTATCACGCGGTTCACTTCACACTCCGTTTAAAGGTGCGCTGGACTCACGTTGGTCGTGAAGGTCCGGCTCATGAGTTCCTCCCTGTCTCGGTCCTGGGCCTCTCTGGCGTAGCGTCGGTGCTGGAAATTCTGCAGGGCGGTCCGAAGGTGTTGGACATCATACTTCAGCTGGTCCACTCGCCTGAGGGAAAGCAAAGAACAAAGTTAAACTGTTGATTCACCTTTAGTGTGAAGTGAAGCATCATTGAACCACATCATATACGTAATTCTAACGATTCCTAATTGCTCTGGCTGATGAGAGCATTTCTTTCCCCTCAGATCTCATGCGGTTGGAATGAAGGGCCTCTCACAGTCCTCAGCTTCACTCTCAGACCCCACTAGAGCTCCGCTGAGATCGGAGGAGCGATGTGGGACGGGGTGCACCGTGTCCCCTCAGGCCTGTTTACCCAGCTCAGAATGAGTCTTTGCCCAACGCAGCAGGAATGCTGGTGATGACGTGGCTGCTGAGGAAATGTTTTCACAGAGCTGCCTGTCTCCTGTCCTACACCCTCTGCGTTTATCAGATGACGGCTCACCCCTGCACCGCTCGGTGGGCTCTAGGGTCACCATCAACTGACTGACTCACTCCAAACTCACACTTTGGCGTTCTGCCGGCGGTTCAGTGGTTCCTTGCTGGCCAAGATCTCGAGGCGTTCCAACTGGTTGAAGATCTGGTCGATTCTAGCCTGCAGCTCGTTCTCCAACACTAAAGAACACAAAAAGGAGAGAATTCATTTGGTGTAATTACAGGAAGGAAGACGCAGTGATCAGGTAAACATGTGTCCTTATTAAATGCAACACATCTGTTTGAGGATTTACTACTTTTTCCAACTTCACTTTTGTTTTCAGGTTGCTGACCCTCCCTTATTAGTTAGTGTATAGGCTTAGAATGCTACATCCTCCTCTGGGTTAAAACACACGTTGATGTCATATTGTGGGAATGGGAGGAGGAGAATCGGGGGTGTCTACTGCCTGGCTCAGTGGCTCCAAACCATTATCTAGAAGTAGCCCTCCCAGTTTGTGTCCCTGCACCCAGCCCTGCTCCTTCCTGTCCTGGCACCAGCCTCAGAAAACAAAACAATCAGCCAGGGAGACACCACCTCCCCTCCAGTCACTATATATATCAGAGAGGCAGCCATAACAAGAAGTCTGTATAGACGTTAAGAACCCATTCAAACACAGCGTCACGTGGCTTAAATCATGTAACGTCACTACTCACAGTGTACCGACTCACGATCCGTCTTCTCCAGATCTCCCATATACGACTGCACCTCCTGGATTTGCCTAATCCAAAATAAAACGTCACGTGGATGAGAACCAACACATGATGCCAAAATACAACCTGACAAACATTTAAATACGTCAACGATCTGCTGTGTGGAGAGTTTAATGATCAACAACCCCCAATATGATGGTATCCGTGTGCTACAGGTAACTATGAATGAAAGTTAAATCACCGCTAATTAGCTAGCTAGCTCAGCTAGCTGAGAATGTAAACGGTTCCCAACACAACAGAAACACACTCACCTGTTTGTCTGGTGGTAAAGCGTCTCCATCTTCAGCGATGTGTTGACTCGCCCCCGGTTGGGATCGTAATCTATTCACGTTACACCGTTAATCTGACAGGTGGCTAAGCTAGCTGGCTAGCCAGCTAACGGTAGTGGAGTGTACACGTCATCAGTAGAGCGTTTGTGTACGGAAATAGGAAAGCGGAAGTGACGCAACACCCGAGAGAGAGCGAGAGAGAGAGAGAGGGGTGGAGCTAATGAAGAGTGCTCACTCTGCCTTGATTTTTAAACACTGAAATTGAAAAATAAATAATGTAAATAACTTCTCTGACGTTTTTCTGAGGCAAATAAAGTTAAAGGTGTTTGTTACTCTTCGTTTGTACCATGGTTAGTGCCCTCTTTTGACTTGATATGTGTTTAATTTTTTTAATTAACAATCTTTGTCTGGTTCAAAATGCTTAAGAAACACCACCTACTGTCAACACCGCTCAGTAGCAGTACCAATCGTGTATTTAAACTCTATGATTTGTCCTTAATTTTGAATGCTGTAATACATCAGTAACCAGTTCACTAAATGTTAGCACCCCATCGTGGACAAGTCAACATTTTCACCCAGGTTCTTCAATTGATGGTAAACTTCTCACATTTAAATCTAGGCTGCAGGCTATATTTTCCATTATATTTGATATTCTGTAATGCGTGGCTGACAGGTGTGATAGCAGAGATCCTTTCCCCCACTAACCCAAGACAAACTCTGAGAGCATGTAGCATAATCTGTTGACATGTAGACATGTGACAGGAAAGACTCTGTGAAACATGTCCTGGGGCTCTCTTTTGTCAGCTCCCCCTGATTCAGTCTCATCAGACTATCCTCTTTTTTTCCACATAGGTGTCAGAATATTCCTGCCTGTCCATCTGGAGGCTTCCTTCTTGCCTGCGGCCAGAGACACCAAAAACTAATGATATCAAACTTTGTCAGTAAGTCACAGATTACTGTGGGGAGGATGTCTGAGGTGTGTTTGTGAAGTTGCGAGTAGACTGTGTGAAAGTGGCATGATGGGATTTCCCAGAACAAGCTGTGAACATTTCACAATAGTTCCTTGGTGATTTAGCAGGAAGAAAAGCATCCTGAGGCGCTGCCTGGCATCATCACAAAACCACATCTCAATCAACTTCCTCCAACTCTCCATCAACTCTCGATGAGACCGGGAGCCAGCAACAAACATCCAAGCGTCCTTCAACCTAATTAGTGCAGTGAGCTGTTACCAGCTCCTGTTTTGGTGGCTGTATTTGTTTACCTCACCCAGCGCAGCAATCAGACGTCGGCCCAGACAGTTTCTCCGTGGCTTCCTGATGTGTGCTTGAGTTGATGGTTGTATCTTCAGGCTAGACACTTCTCAACAGAGGTCCCTTTCACCCACCCCCACATGTCAGAAACCTTGAGGTCTGTTCATGCCACTTCTTGCTCTCGCAGATCACCGTTTTCGGTTGTCATAACACATCCCCAGGGCAGTGGCTGGATGTGCACAGCTTTAACCTGTTGCTCAGAGTAGAGAAAGAGAGAAACAAGGCCTCCCCCTTCAAACCATTTCCAAACAGTACATGAGGCACATTTACCCCCCTCTCTCTCTCTCTCCTCTCTCTCTCTCTCTCTCTCTCTCTCTCTCTCTCTCTCTCTCTCTCTCTCAAGGTTGTGGGGTTCTCTCTGTCTGTCCTTTATCTTTCAGCCCTGAGGAAAGGATGAGATGAGCTTACTGGTTGTCCTCCACACCTGAGCACCACGGGCACAAACTGGAATTCTCCAGGTGTGGAGCACGATCACGCCACTCCGACTGACCGAGAGATGGCATGTGGTTACACCTAGTCTGTCGCTTATTGCACGTGCGTGGTGCAGAGTTCTGTCCAGTTGTTGCCTCCACCAAGGAAACTACGTCCTATTTGTGTTCATGTGTCTGCTTATTAGTTATCAGTATCTCAACTTAGTGTTTTTCCTTTTTCTTTATGGATTTCAGTCTAGCTTTTTGTAAAGTTAGATATTCATTTTTGGTACAAATCCAGTTTTGCAAGATGTGTTGCTATTTCCTCTTGAATTAGAGCTGCAGTGGTGTAAAAGTATTGAGATCTTTGTAAAAGTAGTCATACCACAGTATTAAAATACTCCTACTACTACAAATAAAAGGCATGCATTCAAAATCTTACTTTAAAAAGTAAAAGTACATCAAAATAGTAGTTTAGGTATCAAAAGCAAAATGGCCTCATCCAAAGTATTTGGATTATCATATACGCCTTTCATAAATATAATATATTATTCCATTATTATTATCGATTCATGAACATGTAGGAGAGCTATCTTCATATAGTATTGGTAATCTTATCTACAATGTATATTTTAGAAACTATTAACATGTTTACATATAAAATCTTAATCTGAAAAATAAATGTAGTGGAGTAAATGTATAAAGTATCATAAAATGGAAATTATCACGCAAAGTACAAGTACCTCGAAATTGTACTTAGGTGCTTTACATGAGTCACATACAACCATTGATGCTAATATTTGAATGAAAATAAGACGCATAAAGCGTTGCATGTTACTGTAGAGCTTTAGATGTACTCTATTGCAGGATCCAGATGCAGAATGTTTAGGTATTTAGAGGATTGTACAGCTTTGGTGGCCGCCTCCCTGGATCCTCAAAGAATGCTGTTTCCTGGTGCTGCTCCTTTTGGGGCTTCAGCTGGAACCAAACAAAATGAAGCGCTGGATCAGTCTCCCTGTCCTGGTTAGACAACATGGCAGCAGAGTTGTTGTTAGGTAGAGGGAGAAAGCACTCAGTGTACTCCGTGAATATCCCCTTCAATTACACTGTTTTGTTCATCAAGAGAAAATGATACGTTATTCAATCACTTCTACACAACTTAATGATGTTTTCCCGGCAATATAATACATCATAACTCTCCAATGATTGCCCAAGACAGACAGAGTCAAGAAGCCAATTATGAGGAGCAAAACCGCCTTGGGTCAACAATTTTTGGATGCCAGTCATTTTTTGAAGGCACACAGATCTTCTCACTCCCCCCCGAGGGAGATGATCCACTCGTCTTTGAAGCCGTGATGAGACGCTGAATGAAAGCAAATGAGGGCCTGTCAGAGATGACAGGAGAAACTCATAAGCTCCCAGTGTCTCAGTGGGTTCTGGTGGGAAAGGGGTCCAGAGGAGGGGCCAGACGGCCCCCCCCCCCACCACACCAGAGTAAGAAGGGGATAGTTGGCTTGTTAGTATCAGAACTTCTGTATGAAGTGACGTCACAAAGTCAAACAACCACAAAGAGACAAAAAAAACGACTGCAAAGGGATGCAAAACGATCCCAATTAGACGAAAAATACTACAAACAACTACAAAGATACAAAACAAATGTGAAAAGGTGCAAAACAACCTAAAAAAATGCAAAACGACTGCTAAGAGATGCAAAACGATCAGAAAAAAAGAGATGCAAAACAACTACAAAGAGACTACAAACAGCTGTGTACAAATGCAAAACAACCACAAAGAGATGCTGCAAGACGACTACAAAGACACACAAAACAGCCGTGAAGAGAAGTAAAACTACTCCAAGAAAAGGCAAAACTTTAAAGACACAAAAAATGACTACAAAGAGATGCAAGTTGACTGCAAAGAATTACAAAACAGACAATAGGCGATGCAGAACAACCCCAAAAAGCATAACTACAAAGACCTACAAAACAAGAGATGCAAAGCGACCAAAAAGAGACGCAAAACTATCATAAAAGGATGCAAAATGACTACAAAGACACAAAACAGCTGTGAAGAGATGCAAAATAACCCCCCCAAAACGCAAAATGACTACGAAAAGATGCAAAATATCCACAAAATGATGCAAAATGCCTACATAGAGACACGAAACGACTACTGCAGTTGTTTTGTTTTCTCTTTCAGTTTTGGTGACTTGATTACATAAAGGAGGGGTGGGAGATCTTTTCCATGTCTGCGTCCAAGGGCCTTTTGTTGCCTCATAATCTGTCCATGGCTGTAGGTTGTTTGGAGTTACAAACAGTGGTTATTTCATGATATTCTTTACTGTTAGAATATTTAAAGTAGTTTATTTGGCATTCATTTATTGAGTGGGGAAAGAGATGCCTCTCCCAATGACAGAAGATGATCAGCGTCGTCGTCTCCAGCTTCTCGTTCTTCCTCCCAGCTTTATTTAGTCTGACCTCAGAGAGCTTAGAGTGATCGTACAGCTGTCAGACACACACACACACACACACACACACACACACACACATACACACACACACACACACACACACACACACACACACACACACACACACACACACACACATACACACACACGCAGCCCTGTGGCCATACCACCTGTGGCCATACCACCTGTGACACCCAGACCTCTGGGGATGAGAGATGCCGTCCAGCCCTGCGGTTGGATGACGGGCTCAGCCAGGTCGGGAACACAAACAGCAACACGGCACGCAGCGCTGCACCGGGCTTCCCCTGCCTGACAGCGTCCTACCCACAGCCTGAGTGTGCGGTTCACGGAGCTCAAAGGACTTTTAATGGCACATTATTGTGAATCTTTTAATGACAGTGATGATTTAATGAGTTAGATCACTCAGGGACATGTAGTAAAAATAATTGTTGTAGATAAATAAATAATCACAGACGACATTCCAGCCTTTCTGGAGATGTTGTTGGTTGAGAGAACACATCGCTCCTCCCTTTATCTGTGTTTTCTCTCCATCGGATATTGTTGATCTGGGAAAGTTTTGTTTCAGTTGTAATGGAGGTCAGTGTGTGTGTGTGTGCGTGTGTGCAGCTGAGAGAAAAGGCAGAGGAGTACCATATACTGAGCATGGGGAGTCAGTTATGAAGGTGCATGAGGTCTTATCATGTCCTATCACAGCTGCTGCAATGTAAACCCTGCTGTTTGTGCTGCAGGTGTTTCGGTGGAGCAGCATGGGAACAGCCTCCCCCAGGAGTTTCCCAGTGGGGGAGGGGGAGGGGGGGGGGGGGGGGGTCACAATGGAGTGGTCAAAGGAATACCAGTAAACATTTTCAGGGGCATCTTCGCTGTGTGAAATCAATTGACAAGCACGCGTGCACTCCTGTACGAGCATCCAGCCCTCATTTAACCATTTTCTGTTTTTGTCTTTGCTTCACTTGACAAGTACGTTTCTTGGAAACATCTTATTTATTGTTTAACAAATCCAGCTCGCGACTCGTCAATGTAACCTGGCTATTCAGACCCACAATCCTTTGCACAGCGGGTAGGCCTATATGAGCAAGAGGATCAAAGTACAAGGTGCAGTGTTATGTGGAAGTAGTATTTCCCAGTTGAAGTCATGCAACAGTCTGTACTTTGTCAGGGCAGCTGCAGTATGAACTAAAAGTGTGATTTGGAACGCAGCGAGAGTCCACTGAAATGCTTTGAGCTAAATGCTAACATGCTCACAATGGCAACTCCAACCAGATGTTTAGCATTTGCTAATTGGCTGCTTCAGCTGTGGCTGAAGGGAATGATGTATATTTAGCAGGTATTTAAGTAAGTATTGAAGTAAGCCTTTAATGTCGTACAGCCACATCTGACAGTCCAGAAGCTTACGGACCAGTTTGGCTCGGACATCCGTATTGTTATTTAGACTCAACAATCAAATGGTCAACTTTCTGAGTTGATGGTAACCTCCACTGGCTCTCCTCAGGGATGCGTCTTCTCTCCTCTGTTGTACGTATCGAACACTCACTGGAGAGTTAACTCCCTTTGGTTCATGGTTCTGTTGTTGATTATTTTTCAAATTTGGTGTCATGAATCGTTTTTAGTACTGAATGTGCCAAAGACAAAAGACATGTGCATTGATTTCAGCCGTCTCTCCCTGCTCCTGGCAGAGTCCTATGAGTATTTGGGAACGAGACATTCAACTGACATTTAAGAGCAATACTGACATGGTGCTCAGTAAGAGCCAGCAGCGTCTCTTTTGTCTCAGGAAACTCGCTAAGTTCCAGGTTGACAGGACCCTGATGGCAATGTTTTATTGATCTTTTATGGAGTCTGTGCTCACTTCGTCGTTTAACTGCAGGCATCAATCTCTCAAGGTTGAAGCACAAAACATGTACTCACTAAGGGGGTAATGTCTGCAGCAAAATGACCGGCACTGCACAGCAAACTGGATCTTTAACACAAACAGTGGTATAAGGTCATCAAAGTCAGGAGGATCCATCATCTGGGGACCATGAATGTCTGCATAAAATGTTACGGCAGTTGTTGAGAAGTGTCAGTCTCGACCAAAGTGGTCGATCAACATGACATTTATTGTCGAGCAATGGCTAAAAAACGGCCATCACAAGTTCCTAAAGCCCCAAGCTGACATATTCAAATTGCTTTTTTTGTTTCGACTAACACTCCAAAACCTGCCAATGTTTATGTTTTTTTAATAACTGGCAGAACACAATTTTGGCCGTTTTGCTTAAAATGGAGTCATAAAGTAGCCAAATGGCCCACTGATGGTGGCGACATTGTTGGGGATAAAATGCTGTGATATAGTTTTTCTCCATCGTATACACAACAAATGGAACTATGCACACAATACTAAAAATATGAAGCTCATGTATCAACAAAAAGACTCCAGACTTTTAAACTGTCAGCACAATATCATTGTTTCCACTCAAACAGAAAGGACTGAAGTCTTAAGATTATCAAAATAAAATCAATTAATCGACTAATCATTTAATATTGGTAATAAAGTTGTATTCTTGTCTAATCTTTTTTTGATTCTATGTCGTCGGGTGAAAATCCATCATTTCACCCCTGCTGCCCGCTCAATTGACCGTCACACAAGTTTACAGCTTCTCTGCAGTCGTGCGTCTCATCACCCGTCGCGAGGAGCTCAGCCACCATCCCAGTCCAGAGCCTCTGCGTTAGGCCCCCCCATAGAGGTATGCACTCAGCCTTGTCATAGCTCTAGGCAGTGCATGTTCTTGTTGTGGGTTGAGCTATTGCATTAGTCATTTCACATTCCAAATTCCTACCCCATGCCGTATTCACAACTCTGTCTCTCTCTTTCTTTTCCCCTCTTCTTCTGCACCAAATCCACGTCGCTCCTCGTCCTCCTCATCATTTAATTTTCTCTCAGTGCCATGTCAGGGTGTTGTTTTTTGGGGATTAGGCCCAGGCACTGATGCTATCTGAGCAACTTCTCTTCAGAGGCGGAAGTCTTGTAGGGTTTAGATGTTTGACCCGAGGCTCAGAGGTTCCAATTACAGGACGGGACTGCGCTTTGTGTCCTTGAGCAAAGTATCGACCAAGCCTCCCACGCTTCAGTTAACATCTACTGTTCGTACACAAATGAGTGATGTATAAACCTGAAAGCTATGTATGTCTCTTTGGATCTTTTTTTTTCGTTTTGCAAGTATAATGCATATCTCAAAAAAGTGCCTCGGCCCACGGCACGCCAATTCGTCTTCATCCATCAGAGCACAGTGCTCCGCTGCAGCGCGGCTCGGTAACCTTTACCTGAACCAGGCCGACGCAGACACAAGAGGTAGTGTTACCACCAGCGTCACCCTGCATTGTCTGTCATTCAGTGTCTCAGGGTGACGGGATAGAAGCTCCAGCAGCTCCAGCAGGCCGACTGCCCGCACAGGAAAACCTGACAACAAACACGCACTCCTACTGAAGTGACCACAGGTGTGCACAGAGGCAAGTATGCACACACATATGCAAAAAACCTCTCCGCCCTCACCTGTCTCCTGTCAGGACTGTTTCAAACACACACACACACACACACACACACACACACACAGGAGCTTGCTTACTGCACCCCGGCTCCGTCCGACCCCCCCACCCCGCTCAAAACAGCCGCCCTCGGGGCTTGTGCGTGCGAATCCGGCTGTGGACTCAGCAGCCCCCATCGCTGCACCCCCTCCGCTCAGGGTAGGGAGGGAAATGAAGGCTTTAGGAGTTCATTATAAAACAACAACAGCAGCAGCGGGGGATAGGCCTCCTGGGGCCGAAAACTATCCCCTCTCATCCCTCCATCCTCATCTTTCTCCTTTATGTCCCTCAATATCTCAACCCGGTCCACCCTGGCTTTTTTAAAATACAGCATTGACGTTGAATAAAGTTAAATATTGATCCGCACTATTATAATATGAGGAGTTAATATAGTGAGTCAGTAGTCTCGGCATATGAACTTGTCTGACCTGCCGGCTGACGCATTTATGTATCACTGAACTGAAGTTTTCAAGTTTGAGGGGAAATTGAAATCGAAGTAAAGGATCCAAGCACAGGTTTGTATTGGTAGTATAATGCTGTTGTTAGAGAGACAAAGACATGTTGTAGCTGGACAGTGAAAAAAACACCTGTCTCACAAATGTCCACTTTTCGTGAGCAAAAAAACCCCAATGTGACAATGTGTTTCTCAGCCAATCCAGAGGCTTTTTAAATCGTGTATTTAACTTTGGATGCGTGAGAATTACCTCAACCTATAAATGAATAATTAATCCATCAAGTTATTGGAAAAATTTTAAATAACCAGATTTTGAAATACATGATTTTCATTCAAAGATAAGAATTTTAGTGCTGAAGAAAATACTTTTGTTTCACTTTCTTATCTTTTTATTTATTTATTTATTTATTATGTCAGGGAAAGTGCTCTTCTGTTGTAAAGACAAAAATATTTAAAAGTTTAAAAGTAACTTTCAAAGGATTTTACATTTGATTTCAAGATAGATGTAGAAGGATGATGATTCTCTCTTTTAGATGAGGGAAACCTTTTAGCCTTAATGTCTAATATGGCTGAAATTGAGTGACATTTGACTCATGTCATAGCTTTATCACGTTTGTTTTGTTTAATTAAATTTGCAGATTTTTGCCCCTAAGCCATGCAGCATACTCATCACACTGAGACATAACAATATCATACACTGTGCATCCATTATAGACATTTTTAAAGTCATTAAACCTGTGAGGAAATAAGGCTTAGTCATTTTGAAATTGTCCTATAATTCACTGCAATACTCGGGGTATTCGGTTGATGTTCTAATAAGGAATAATAATGTGTAATCACAGTAATTAGAGAGCAACATCAAAAGCACCAGAGCACACACTATAAATACCTCGTACAATAGCCCTGTGTGTGCTGTAGGTTCACTGCAGATGAGTGGAAAGTTATGATTCACGGTTAATAGCATGTAAACCGCTCTCGTCGTGGTTCTGGAGCAGCTTGATGTTACTTTCTAACGATGGATCGGGGGTCAAACCCTCTGCTCGGCATTCTCCTGAGTCATCATCTTTTGTCATCATCGTCATTATGATTGTCATCATGGTTGTCGTGCTAGAGGCACAACACCTGTGTGCGTGTCCTGCTAACCCACCCGCCCGCCCGCCTTTTTTACAGGGCGGTTGAGGATGATGCAGCGAGACCACAGTCCTTTCAGATGAAGAGGAGGGCGGCGGTATCAGCAGGAAGTGGTTTCAGGCAGGTGTATTGCTGCTGCGTGTGGAGTGTATGTGAGAGTGTGTGATGGTGACCGCCTGCACCAACTGATCAAGACACAACAAACACATAGCTCTTACAAATGCATGTCCATTTATCAACCTTATTTATTCTAAATAAGAGTGCAATGCAACACAATTTAATAAAAGCAATTGAGACCTGGTGATATGCACAACCAAATTCAAAAGAGCTGTACAAAAATCTAAAATACGATCTTTAAAACAAAGGACAGGACATAACTCTGCATAGCTCATAAATCTTACTGATATTTGCCAAAAGATGAAGTGAGGTAGAAAATTACGATTCCATGTTGTCATACGCCTGGAGCCCCGACATGAGTTATATTCATATCATATATACAGTTCAGAATCACTCAAACAAAAACACAAACTGGCCAATAAAATAAAGCCTTTGGGTGAGTCGTGCACTTTTGACCCGCGCACATGGACACATGTGAGGATAAGTGAGTAAACATGGGGAATTTCTTTGATTAGCAATTTGGGGAAAGTAAGGAGCACGATTAGCCCACTTCAAAGGCATTTAGAACAAAGATGTGGCTAAATTAGACTTAAAAGACCAAATGCTTCAGTCAGGCAATTTTAAACTTGAAAGTACAGCGCAGTGCGTGCTTCGATACACAGAAGAAACACAAGAGCAGCGTTGGTGTGTGTTCAGAAATTAAGCGTTTATCATTCTTTTGTTTTCTCAAACACAGTGTTTGGTGTTCCCCCCTCACTATTACCGCAGGCATTTCCCTTTGTTCTTTTGAGCACACATTAGGCTACATGTAGAGATTTCCATAGAGATTTCCATAAGAGCAACTGAAACTCAGCTTGTGTCTTTACACGACAACCCTGTTAATGTATGTTACGATGCATAACAGTGGCACCGCTCAAAGCTTCCAGTGATTCTGTTCAGACACGTATTTAGACCGAAACATTTTTTCTTCTTCTAATGTCTACGATTAGTTATAAACTTTGCATCATATGTAGCAAGAGCAACTTACAGTAAGTGCTTTTTTAATTTAGAGATGAACTCCTAAAATGTCTCCACAGCAGACAGAGAGACAGACAGGTGGATTCCTTTTAAGGCCATTTTAGCCTCAGTGGCAATAACAAGAAGGTTAAAGTATAAAGCAGCAGTACAACAGACACAATGACTGATACAATAAATAGTCAAGTGGAAGGGGGCCAATACAACAAAGTCACTGCCAGAGCTCCCCTGCAGACGGGGGTTTGACGTCCAGTCCAGTCCAGTACCTGTTTTAAGAGCTCATTTCCCTCCGTCCCACAGGAGTGGGATTTCAGTGCATCCAGCGAGAGTAAAGCAGAGTGCGTTGAAAACATCCTCACCTACAGTGAGCTGCTGCGTATCAAATCGGGTGATGATTAGCAAATAACCGGCAATATTATAATGTTACATGTAGTGTGTTCCTCCCCAAATAACATGCAGGTGAGAATGGAGATCTGCAAAGATGTGCTCTGATGGGAGATCATTCAGTGTGTTTGTTGTTTGTAGTTCAGCCAATATGTCCAATGGATAAAGTCTTTGCATACGGCCTACATCTCGTCATCTGCTATGCGTTTTTGCAGGTGTACACCTCCTCCTCTCTCACACACGTCTGGCACTCCACGTGGCAGCACCAGCGTACCTGGCAGTGGCAGGACAGGCTGGTGAGGCGCATGGCCGTGTTGTAACCACGTCCGCAGCACAGACTCTGACAGCTGGTGTCTTTGGCGCACGACCGGCCGCTCGTGCCCGGGGAGTAGCGCGAGGGCCTGCAGAAGCTGGGGGAGTCTTCCAGGTGGACCAGGTCGGTGGTGCGGAGGCTCTGGCCGTGGCGACGGGGCCCGGCGAGCTCCGTCTCCCCGGTGGCCGCGTTGGTGACGCTCAGCACCCGCACTGCGGTGTCGTACCTGTACTTCAGCAGCCGCCCGGTGTCGTGGAAAGGAGACAGCTGCTTCCAGCAAGTCCGTACGGCGCAAGAGCCGGAGACACCGTGACATTTGCAGGTTGTTTTCAGGCCGCTCTTCACCGCCTGAGAGTGGGGGGGGGGGGGACAAAAAGTGTCAGTTCCTTCAGTTTGATTCATTACCTGGCCTCTTATCTGGGAGATCTATCTGGACAGAGTGAGACAGTTTCCTGCAGGCTGGGTAGGAGGTTAGGGGTGGTGGTCTGCGGATAGGGTGCCTTTAGCCCACCTCAGTCAAACATTTTGACATAATGGATTGAGGGGGACTGTTCAGAATGTCGTATTTAATTTACCGCACATTTCTCACTTGGACAGCTCTTGCCATTATTTTTTTTAACTCAATGTGTTGAAACTAGCTCCTGTCTGTTTCTCACCTGTCTCTTCCTAAAGCCCGAGGCAGAGGTGACAAACTGTGCAGACAGTGGAATCTCTCCACCCTGTTCTTTGTACATGCCTGCTCATGGAAAACATTGATAAGAATTTCTGCGCAAGAAGTGCCAAAAAAACAAAAACTAGAATTGTTGCAGCGGTTTTGCAATGGTGCCCGTGATTTTAGGTTAATAGTTCACTGAGCTTGATGGTCAGCGATGAGGGCGCGATCACTCAGCCTGAGAGCTGCTGTCTCGGCAGGGGCCAGAGACAGGTCACACAGAGGGAGCCAGAGGGTAACTGGGTTGAGAAGTGCCGCTCAGTTCCTCCCTTTGCAGGTATGAACCCCTCAGGGGCTTCAGAGCACCATTACTGAGAGACGAGGGGGCCGCCGACCACTTCATGTTTTTGTTAACGCGGCTCGTGGTCTCCTCTCGGCCGACATAAAGTGCGGAAAACATTTAACTCGGTGAAGATGAGATAAGATTGCTTCCCTCACTTCTTCCTGTTTTTCTGCTTGTCTCCACCGACTCTACCAAAGGTGTGAGCAGCAGGAGTAGGACCCCGGGGGCCCTGCAATGTCAGAGCTATACACAAAGGTGCTTATGAACATTAGGTGGATTTATGAAGAGCACAGTGATCCAACAAGTGGAAAAAAAACAAAACGCTTGCTCGTATATTAAAAAGAGGCCACGGTTATAATCGTTCTCTCCGACATGAGACCTTTCATTTTCTGAATGCCCGCACAGCAAGCTTTATCATGTCTGAGAACACCTGGCTCCAGCGATCCCACAGCCAGCTTGTCTCCCCGCTCCGCTGCCTCACCCTCTGCCTCTGTGTTATCCACCAAGGACAACGACGGCACCAACTAAGGGGGTGTTTGTCTGGCTGGCACTGGGAAAAATATGCAGGTGAGGATTACAATTCTGTACCCTCTGATTGCGCTGGCGTGTGCTAGAGGTGCAATTATTTTGTAAAATTTCAGCCCAACTAATTGAGATAAGTGTGGCTCAGGTATAGATGATGTTTGTGATGTCATCATAAAGAGAGGAAGGGGGGGTTGTTTCGCTGAAGCACATTTGATGTAATATTTCTGTTCCAACACATTTGGGTTTATTTGTTCACACTCACCCGAATTCCGACGTTGATGTTGTGGGCGTCGACTTGAGCCCTCAGGTCCTTGCTGACCTTCTTTTGGCCGAGGAACTTCTTGAGGAACTTGGTGCTGTATTTCAGGTTGTCACCGCAGACCCCCCACTGCCACGCTTCTCGGTGCTGGATGCCGGGGGAGTCGTCGCACGTGCACCTCTCCATTCGGCCTGAGCTGCACGCTTTGGCGAGTGCATGGGTCAACGCCGCAGAGGACACTGCCAGCAGGAAGGCAGTCTCCTTGAATGCTGGAAAACATATTAAAAGGCACATCAGTTTAATGTATCTAGGACAGATTTAAAGAGACATATTTACAGAGCTGTAAATGCTATTTGTGGCAATAAAAACACATGTTCTGAGTATAAACTGTATATCTTAAGGGATTAATTCACAGTTTATCATCATCATGTCTTTTGTGCCACTGAGAAAGCCTTTAAGCCAAAATGTTTACAAAGAGCTCATAACGTCGTCATGGTTTACTTCAACCTCAATATTATTCTGCAAGTTTTCTTGTGTCATAATTCCTCTTCTGACCTTTTCCTTTCGGTTACACACTGTTATTTGCTTCACCCGGAGCCGTCACCAGGGTATATTTTGATCCAATTAATTATTATTTTGACTAGAGGAAGGATTTTCCCAGATGAAAGTGGGTAATCGTGCCACCCTTTTCCTCTGGGAATGGGCGCTTTCCCGAGATAAAAATAACCACAGGGCCTGAGCACACTCCACCGCACCACATTTCTTGGCTTTCTACTCCCTCATTACCTCCATGCTGACCTGTTCATGTTCTCCCCCACACTGATAACCATATGCATAAAGCATTTTCTGTGCACAGCAGACCTGCAGGGGACTTGAGCTTTATCCAATACGGTGATTTATTATATCCTTTTTTTTCAAGTGAAGCTAATCAATGGTTGTATCAGGTCATTAAAAAAGTATTAAAGTACACAACTTTTAGAAAACCTTTTTTAGTGGTTGTATCCTGTTGAGGGACTGAGCAGAACTTCTTAAGTATAGAATAAAAGAAAACGGATTTAGTCCGCTGGTGTTATTGTAACACATGCAAGAATGACTTTAAATAACTAATAAATATAAAAAACGTATACAAGCAATCTCTCCGGATGCAGCACGAGTAAATAGGATTTGAGTTGTTAAAATAAATTTGTAAAATCGGTGAGGCAGAAAGGAAACAAGCGTGTAATCATGTGGCAGCAACAACCCATACAAACAAAAACTAATTATATTGTTTACATTTATATTCTTAAAGACGTAACCTAATACGTCTTTAAACTGATAATACTTTGATCATTGTTGTGATAAATGACATGGATTTATATGAAAATGTAACTTCAGATGTTTACCTTTGATCACATCACCATGTTGACATGTGGCTTATGCATCGCACCATTAATAATAAGAAAAACTATCAATATAATTAAGTTATTAAAGGCAGACCTTAATCATGTTTGACAAGTGCCTCCAGTCTTGGCCCCAAAAGGTCGTAACAGCTCAACTGGAGAGAAACAATTGGTTCATCCTATTTTTCTCTCTCTAGCTACTTTTGTTGTTGCTGATGATCACTCGGGTTTGAGATAAAGTGATGTTGCCATGAGCGTCAGGGCACATGCAGGCAAATCTGGCATATTGGTGTCCTGTTCAGAGACACTTCAGCAGGACATGTAAGACATGCCGCATGTCATTCTAAGTGAGTGATGGAGATTAAAAGGAAAATCGAGCAGCTATGTACCTGTCTAATTTGAGGCACGTGAAGATAAAGACAAATAAAGATAAAAGGCATTAATGCGTGACTGGATGGTGATTTGACTGACGGGTTGACTAAACGCTAAAAAACTGTGATGCGGAGTTTCAGGCTCACCTCTTTTCAGAAGGCTCCCCCGGCCGTCCAGACTGCAGTTCCAGCGCTCGTTCCTGAACTGATACCGACACTCCAGGAGGCTGAGGCGCACCGAGTCCCGCAGCGTCTCGGACAGACCGGGCTCCCTGCGACACAGCCTCTTCTGCCGCCGGGTCAGAGACATCTGCTCGCACTGCTTCAGGTGGGCCTTTCCTGTCGGAGCTTCATTTGAAAACGGACCTGGTAAAAACACGAAGGGCTCCCGCCCTGTCAGCCTTAGAGTGGAAAGAAAAAAAAACACGTAGGAGATTGTAAATCTGGTGAGTTGAATGGAAGTAAGCGTTTCTTTTTTTTTCCTCAATATGTTTTCCATATTAGACTTCATGAAAACATGTGACTTTGTTTTACGCGGTTTACTGAGTCCTGCCAACTGAACCTGTTAATTTACTCCGTCAGTAGATTAAAGCTATTTTGTATTATTATTTAAATTTGAGTTTTTCTGGATAATGATACTGCTGTAAACAAAAGAAAACCGTTTACGGTTTAGATAAAGTGCAGTTTAACAAATCCAAGAAAACGCGCAATAAAGCCACGTGATTAACATGAATTAATTTGAGATGCATCTTAAATACACCGGTGATGATTATTGTTTACTGCAACAAATTAGCACGACAATCAGCAAAACTACAGCGAATTCGAGCAACGCAATGGCAATGCACCTCTATAGTTTGCGCACAATTACGCGTGCGTAATTTGGCTGAAGTTTGAAGTGCTTGTCGTTTTGATGCCCTCTAAGGGTTAAAACAACAAAGTCGATCAATTAATGAGATGGGCAGAAGTGAAAAGGAAAATCGGCTGACCCAAAATAAGCTGCAGTGTGCGAGAGAAGGATGCAGAGCGCAGCGAGTCGCAGTAGGCAGGCGGTCCGTGAGAGCCTGGAGCGCATGGTGCCGGGTTGGCGCTGCTCTTCATCTCGCTGATTCTTCAACGGAGAAAGTCTGTGCCGTCTGGTCGGCGCATCTCTTTAAGCGACCCCACACGCACACAGACTCTCAAATCCGGTGCGTTGGGCCCAGTGGTCCGCTGGGAGGCAGGGCCCTTTGGGAGGGGGGAGGGGGGGGCATCATCTTGCTGCACCTTCATTGGATTCCTTCAATATTGTTACTGTATGTTCCCTCCCACTGTAACTAACGCCACCCAGGTGGAAGAAGCTGCAACATGACTGCGTTTACCTGCTGTGATGTAGAAATATCGAGCACACCCGCGGTACCCGTCACTACAGGATGCTCACGTCTACCGCAAAACCTGGTTACGCACTGGAACCAAAACCTCAGATCGCTCCACCGGACCCTAAATTCAACCCACAATGGACAACACACCTGCACTCTGAAGTGTCCTTGACCGTGGACAAATCAGAAACAACTCACAATTCCCTAATTTTAGTTATTGCAATATATAATCATTGCAATAAAGCATCACAATCTTGTAAAAATATAAAAGCACAGCATTTATGAGAAGAAGTCAAATATTCCACGAAGCCAAAGAGAGATTAAAGGACACAAACATGTTATTATAGGACATATATCCTGTACGCTTCATGTACTTTCAATCTTCATTGGTCCTTCAGAGAAAAAGCAACCATGGATAGAGCCCCATCTAGTGGATTCGATACACAAATTCAATCTTTCAACGTCAATGGATTTTTAAAAATAAACGTCGTAAATAAATTTAGCAGATTCGTTTTGATTGATTGGTGAATCATTTGTTCGGTAAAATGTCAAAAACACTGTGAAAAATCTCCTCAATATAAACCCGGTTGGTTGGTAGAAGATTGAAAAGTTCAAGGAATACGAGGAAACAAATGTGTGTTCAGTTATGAATCACCCAGTAGCCAACACGTGCAACAAATACACCGTTCAGATAGACATTAATGACACGTGACACAGTGACGACATATCTTCCTCCTCTGACGTGGATGTTTTATGGAAGATATATAATATCAAAACGATTTAATACAGTCAGACCATAAGCACATTTGAACTTTGTTCAATGCTATATATGGCTATATAAAAACTTTAAAAAAGGCTTAAATAATAATAAAGTAAATAGGCCTAAATAAAATACCTTGAATCTATAATGAAAGTGATTTAAGTTATTATTTAAGGTATTTTGCTGATACATTCAGGAGATTACTTTTTTTCTCAGCATTTAAGAAGAACTTTGCTGATTCAAACAGATATTGATATATTTTTATTTCCCACCTTCACTACCGCAACTTTTATTTGTAATCCCAAAACACAACCGACAGAGGCAAGAGGGCGGTGACACCGGAAAATAAACCAGATCACAGTTGAACAGGACCAGGAAGAAAGACGGCGTGAGAAGCACCAGTAAAGGTACAACCATTGTTCGTATGGCATTCGTGTGTCATAGATATTGTTTTTATTCGAATACATTTGGAGCTCAACAGCCTGTTAACGCAGTAGGAGCTGGCTCAAATCGTGGCAGCGGCAGCTAGTAGAGGCACTTCCTGTTGCAAGCTCAGCTGCCACTAGCTTCTTGTGGCAGCTGCCAGTGATTCGGAGCGGATTCCGCGGTAGTTTAGCCTTTATTCGTCGTTATTTGACATTATGTGACAATACATTAAGGTCATTGAAGGCATGACTGTTGGTAGTTGTAATTGGTTTAGTAAAAAAAGGCCGAATTGTAATAGTATGGCTACTCGTTTTTATTAACAAGCTAATGTAGGCTAACTTCAGTTGCTACTTGTTTCCCATGGCAACGATAAACACTTTCATGCAGCAGACTAAAGGAATGCAAATTGTAAATATGGATAATATGCATTGTACTGTTTAGAGTGATAGCAACCCATATAACCTATTGACTTGGATATATATATACAGTATATAGATATATATACAGTATGCCACAAGTTGTTGCGACAGTTACCACTTTTAACGTTACTTCCTAAAAACTAGCTAGCTAACAGTTTTTAATGTTAACACTGCTTTACGGCAGTTAACTACGTATCCAGCTAACGTAAACGTTACAGGCTAACGTAAACGTTACTGTATGATTCTGTTAAAAGTAATTTTTACTAATGTTCGTGTTTTGATTTATGAGCTTCAGGACAAAACACTAGATGCATTTCTTAAATTTGTTTGACTATAAGTACTACTGGAATAGCACCTCAGCCTATCAGAACTATTTATAATTATAAGAAAACCTCTAATGACACTCAGGTATGTTGTTGCGCCACCATAAACCTGACATACCTGTTTACTCAAAGGAGCAGCCATTACCCAGCACACTCAGAAGTCTGAGAAGCTGGGCACTAACCTCACCCTCTGAATAACATGCATACCAACATATTTCTCTGACATACTTGTAATGGTTCTGCAACCCAAGAAAGTTTTATTTCCATTATCAATTTCATCGTATATCTGAATCAACAAAATGTGAGCAAATATTGAAACACTCATCACATGTTCGCAGTCCATTTGTTTGTACTGTCCAGCCAAAGATGTTCTATTTATAATGATATAAAACATGTTTGGGGTATTGACAGGTTAAAACCTTATTCACTTATTACTATTGCATACTTATATTAGGCCTCTCTGCTCAAGAGCTGCTCTCTGTCTGCCCTCAGCTTCTCAGAACAAAGTCACAGAGTTTAGGCCTTCAACTGTTCATTCCCAGTAAGATTCACCCGAGACATGAGGTCATGAATCTACAGACTAAACACACGTGTTTAAGGACACCGGCCAAGAAATATCCTAATCTTAACCTCATTCACTATATTTCTCGCAAATGTGACCCTTATTTATTGCAATTAAACTGGAAAAGTACCAGCTCGCTCATTGTGAATTCATCTTTGAATTGCCACCACATTTTGTTATGTTTGATGAATTTACTTCAGTTATTAATTGATTATCAACACAGGTGGCAGTTCATTATTTCAACACGGTGACTGACTGATTCAGCACCACATGATGATGGCTGTGGGAGACTAACATTACTTAGCAGCATCTGTAACATTAATACTTGATGAATGATCCACATTGTTTTAGAGATCTGACCACGCGATATTGCTTTTCCTTCTGCAGGTGAGCCAAGATGGGGGCTTTTGCTAGCCTTTTTAAAAACATGTTTGGCAAGAAAGAAATGAGGATCCTGATGGTGGGACTGGATGCTGCTGGAAAGACCACCATCCTGTACAAGCTCAAACTGGGAGAAATCGTTACCACAATCCCTACCATCGGTGAGACCTCTTCCTCTTCCTCTTCTCACCAATGCCAAGATGTCGAACCTCTTTGTTCCGTCCACCCAACATCTCTTTGTTTCTCCCTTCATCCGCAGGTTTTAACGTGGAGACGGTATCGTACAAGAACATCAGTTTTACAGTGTGGGATGTCGGTGGTCAGGACAAGATCAGGCCACTCTGGAGGCATTACTTCCAGAACACGGAAGGTGAGACACTTCCTAATGTTGACGGTCAAAGTCTGTTGTTCAAGCTCACTGTTTAATTGAATCCTCCATTACACGTGGAGACCTTTTTATCCACTTCCTCATGCAAACCTCACCTGTTTTCCCTTTTTTCAGGCATTATCTTTGTAGTGGACAGCAACGACAAGGAGCGAGTCGGTGAGGCGAAGGACGAGCTGATGCGAATGCTGGCTGAGGACGAGCTGAATGACGCCGTGCTGCTCGTGTTTGCCAACAAACAGGTGGATTTTAGTCACTGTTCTTTTTAAATCGAGCATCATTAGTGGGAGAACCTGACGCCTATCAACTATCCATCAGCCATTGATCCATTAACAGGGGATTGACACTGATACACATCCAGTATATTGCATCACTAGTGTGCTAATGATGCTGGTTAAGTGGCCTCTAAAAAGTGATCCGTGCAAATCTTAATGGGGAATAGTGGTTTCTCTTGTTGTTATGTGAGCATTGTGTTTGCTGCTCTTTCAGGACCTTCCCAATGCCATGAATTCAGCCGAGGTCACGGAGCAGCTGGGCCTGCAAACCCTGCGTGGGCGAGAGTGGTACATCCAGGCCACGTGTGCCACTGGTGGAGACGGTCTCTACGAGGGTCTCGACTGGCTCTCCACCCGGCTAAAGAAAGGCAAATGATCCGTCCCTCCACCTCCCGCCTGCGATGGTAGACTCTACTGGTCCTGGTCTCATTCTGTACTGGTCCTACTCTCATTCTCTCCTTTCCTCTCTTTTCTCTGAAGCCTTGGACCTTTGGGCCAGTGCTCCTTAGCATCTGTGTACTGTCGGAGTGTGTATCTTGGATGGGTGAATGTGAGTGGGATCAGCCATGTTGTTCTCCACAAATGACAGTTCTGTGTAAATGCGTTTTGGCGCATTTAAGTTTCGACTGTTGCAGTGAACACTGGATACTTTATATCTTTCCCCATTTGTTAAATCATTTCTTCAGCTTTCAAATTCATGTTCTCCCTCTTTTCTAACCAGGTGGCTTTGTGTTTTACACAAAGATCCATCATGACTGGGTGTCGAAAAGGCAATAAAATATAGAGTGTATGTTTACATGTGTGGAGGTGTGTCCTCGTGGTGCTGTGTGGGTTTCAGCTACTTCCAAATCTTTCTTTTTGTTTCCTGGTCGTCTTATTTTCTAGTCTAAGTAGTTCTTTGTTTCTGTGTTTTTTTCAAAAAAAATGTTACTGCTGATGCATGCTCGACCTGGTTCACTTGCGTGCCAGGTGTGCAGTCTTTGGAGTGAAATGCTCTCGAGGAGGAATTGGTTAGATTCAGAGAGGGCTCATTGCGATTGGTGTAGTTTTAAATTCGCTCTGGCCGGTTGTATGAATCAGCGCTGTAAAGGCTTCCTTGTTGCTTCAGACTTTATGGTGTTTTCCCTTTATGCAGCCAGGGCGCTTCCCCTGGAGTTATTGATATTATGTCCCTCTGATGCCGTTTGCACAACCTCATCGACTTGCACAACACGGGCCTCTGTGAAGACGGAGGCTAATCCATCAGACCCCATAAACAACAGCCCCTCCCATAGTCCTACACCAGCAGACAGTTAGAATGTTGCACCAGTTAACCCAGTAACACAATAATTTTCACACGCATCCACTGACGCTCAATACATCAGCTGTTCACACCCTTTACTGAGAGAACATGACTCTAAAGTCATAACATCACATTTGACTACAGCTGGACGTTCCGATGTTTTCTTGGGAAGTTTAAGGTCGATCGACTGTTCTTTTGGGTTTTCTTTGTCCCTCTGTCGGGGTGTTTTTTAAACATCAGTACCGTTTGATGCTCTACATCGTGAAATACAAATGTATGTAATATTCTGTGTATTTTAGCTTGATGTCATCCATCTGCCCTCGGTCAGAAGTAAAGCTTTAACTTTTGAGAAGTGTATGTACATGTTTGTCTTAAGCTCATCTTGTAGCATGCTTCGTGCCTTTTCATTGGAATAATTCATGAGAAATAAAAGCCTCACAGATAATCATTTTATATTCTTCTATACTCAGCCAAAGTAAAGTGACGGACAATGCATTTTGAATTTAGGTACTTTTGTCACTGTGCAAATATTCATAGCTTGGATTATCATAACAGCTCTTAAAAAATAACATTTCAAATGTATTTCTTATTTTGTTAACCTGTTTAAGTTGTGAGTTTGGATTTAATCTAATTTAATTTTTTTTTCAATATTTTCGACATTATCAAAGATGTGACAGGTGTCAACAATGTGAGTTTCCTGCTCAGTAAAACACCAACAGATGTAAACCCACATCTGTCCATTAAGAGTTCTGTTTTTGTTTGTTTCTGATTTCTTTGAGATTAATTAATACATCAATAAATCCAGTCACATTGCAATTGTTCATGAGAAGGTTTTTTTTGAAGTGAGAAGATAATCTGGCAGCATCTATATCTTTAAAAGTCTAGTAACACCATACATACCCTAAACCTCTGCCTACCTCTGCAGACTGAATATATATATAATATATCGTATCTCACTGATGTGGAGTAAAAGACTTCACCTGTGAGCTCTAGGAAACGGGCAACTTCCCTAGACAAGGCTTTACATTTTGAAAATAAAAAATGTCGTAAGCAATTAGATATATAAATATAAATATATTTAAATGCACAAATGTACTGTTTTCTTGCATTTCCTGGCTGTAGCCACTGGAGGGCAGCAAACATTCATGATTCTGAATACACTCGGGTACGGAGAGGAGAGGAGAAACAGACATTTCCGGTACATACTTTCAAAATAAAGCAACCAAAAGAGGAAAGGGCCTTCACCAGAAGTGCAGTTATTGTAATAGTATACCATCATATCTGCCTTTACGCAGGTATGCACATCTTTAAACCAGGAACAGCTCTTTATTGTTACAGTTATTATCAATACAGATGATGAATGAAACATAATGCATGTTCAAATAATAACAAGTAATTCTTCATGGCTTCAAAGTGCACTAGGTAGAGCTTGTAGGATGACATGTTGGGCTAATGAGGACTGAAGGTCCCTGAGGGCCACAGAGCTGGACGGACGGTGACGCAGGGACGACGAGGGGGAAGTCTTTTCCTGACGACCAGAGAGCCTGCAGACCGCTGCTGTTTCCCTCCTTTTACACTCCATCTAGATTTCAGGTGGCCAATTCTCCATAGAGTTGTTACCTTGGAAACAGCACCTTACGTATTTATAGAGAGCAGAGTAGTCGTGAGGAAGAGGGAGCAGGAGACAAGACTGTGAGACGGGGTGATGCAGGATTTGGACTGGCTGGAAGCACACATACTGGGGGACACGGTCATACTTTTATTTTGCTAAGCAGAGGTATAGTCTCTGATCTCATCCCAGTAGACAAATCATCCCTCACCTCTTTATATTTATGAATTACAAGACGCTCCATGACCTGATCCGGTCATATTCTTTATTCCTTTGAGCTGAGGTGATTACCTTCTTCTTACTGGACCTGAATCACTTTCACTGGTTCAACACATTCACCATCACATCCCTGCTGATCGACCTCCGTCTGTCACGCGCTACGACTATCAAATCAAGATGAAATGACCTGAAATAATTCTAATAGGATATGTGGAGTCACACTCTCCACACACACACACACACACACACACACACTCACACACACACACACACCACACACACACACACACACTCTTCCCCCCCACACACGCACACACTCTCCACACACACACTCTCTCCACACACACTACACACACACACATTCTCTCCCCACACACTCTCCACATTCTCCACACACACACACACACACACGACCTCTAGCAGGCGTTCTCTGCTGTGCACTATATCTCACCTTGATGTGTGACTTCACAGCACATTAACCCTTCGCTCACCCCACCGTGATGTCAACTCTTCAGCTCCTTTTTGCATTAAAATTGTCACTTTTTCTTCGTGACCTCTGGTGGTGGAAAGTCACCAAGTGCATTTACTCATGTACCTGTACTGGGCTGGAGTTTTTCAAGGTTGAGTATTTCAATTTTATGCTACTTCTACTATACATTTTTACTCGACTGCATTTATTTGACAGCTGTTAGTTACTTTTCAGTTTAAGGGGAGACACCACAAGTCAATAAGGTAAAAAAAAATGAACTAATAGATATTACATTAGATATTTTCAGAAATTGTACCTTTAAATATGCAAATCAGGCATTCTCTTATTAAAAATGTGCTGATTTGAATATATTTTCAGGACAGAACTGTCAACATCCATAAAACAAATCCATTGTCGTGGTTTTAGGAGTACAGCTTTACTAGTAGTGGAATACTTTGACATTGTTGTAATGCTCCTTTTATTAAGTAAGTGTACTTCTTCCACCAGTGATGACCTCCATCTCAGGGGAGGAGGCTCCAGCAGCATCATCGATCCACCCGTAGATCAATCAAAGGGATATTGGTATTGACTTGTAAACAGGAGGGAGTAAGACGAAGAAGTAGTCACACATCCATCGTCTCTTTCACAAATTCTCAGGGGTGAATGTCGAGCAGCAATTAACAACCAAAGCAAGGTGTTTAATGTGTGTGAATATAAATGCGTGGTCCGGTTTACTGCGGTGCTTGAGTCTCCTGACAGTGCAGGTAAATCTGTTTCTGTTCACCACCACGTCTTCCATCTACGAACTCAAAGCCCGCGTGTGTAACATTAAGGGTCGGTTGTATTTCTTGGCCCTGCAGAAAGTCACAGAAGGCGCTCAGCGGTGCGCCTGTATTTTAAATCCGTTCCATCCACCCACACACACACACACACACACACACACAGCAGAGGAAAACAAGAGTTCACCAGAGACTGACTGCACCTTTCCATAAAGAGCAAGTCATCTCCAGACTCTCACATCGCCATGGAAACACAGGATTTGTCCAGTTGAGTGGCAGTGGAGCAACGCGGAGGCCAAGATCTCCATCACCTCATCATGGTTCTGTAGTCCTGCAGGCGAAGGAAGAATAAATCGTCACTATTGTATTTGTTTGGACTCAATCAAATGTGTTACCACGGTATATAACATGTAGATTTCATTGTATTCCCTTCATCCTCTTGTTGAAGTATTAATGTGTGAACGATATTGATTCTACTTGGGAGTGTACAGCAGTTCACACATTAATCATAGGGTCGCATGGTTCGATCTCTGCCTCCTCATGTTCCCTTGTGTCCTTGAGAAAGACACTAAACCCCACTGAGCCTCTGCCATCAGCAGTTATGGAAAGCAACTGAGTACATTCACTCAAGTACTGTAGATATAATATTGAGGTACTTGTACTTCTTCCTGTATTTGTAATTCCATTTCAAGCTCCCTTACATGTACTCTCTCTCTTTCAGGATAAGAGGAGCATTCAATGGAGACAAAACCAGCACCCTGAGTCTCAAATAACAGGGTTCTGCAAACCCTGTTACTTAAAAAATAAATTAACCCAATATTACTCTTCCCAATGGTGTGATCTTTGTTTGTGCAATACTGCAAATGCATGATTACATTGCATATTTCTTTGCTGCTGTAATCATAACTTTACGATTTGGCCTGTAACCTTTGACCTGTTAGTAAAACAAAAACAAAAGCAGTTTCTCGTATTCCTCGTGTCAATATAAAACACACCCATTTGCTTTAAGATCGATTTATTTTCATTTAGAATTGTGTCTAAATCTAATTTTTCTTTTGCTGCTTCTTCTACAATTTTAAACAATTGTCACCAATTTTAGTACAAAATGTTGGAAAATGTTACTATTTCATATTTTTGATCTATAGCTGCTATCACCTAAGTTGAAACCTAGTTATCCGACTGTATCATCAACAACAGAGACATAATTATAAGAGCAGTGTGGATTCTTTATTTTTTTCCACCACACCTGACATTCGGTAGACTCCGTAACGTAAATCTAACGCACCCGTCGCGGTCTAACGTTGGAGGCCCCGCTGTGATTCGTTTATTAACTCATCGGTTATCCCTCATGTTAGCTTCAAAATGTAGCATCAAACCCACTTAGAGTGGGTA